CCTCAGCAAGCAGCACCAAATCATCCACGTAGGCAAGGATGTAAAGCCTGTGGGGGGATGTGCGAATGAAAAGACTGGGGTCGGAAGTGGAGGTAGAGAAGCCAAGAGAGTGAAGAGTGGAGGCGAGCTTGGCGTGCCACTCGCGCGGGGCCTGTTTAAGGCCATACACAGGTCGCTTGAGTTCCCAAACAGTGCCTGGAGGGAAAGGGCGAGGAAAACCAGCGGGGCGCTCAAGGAATATGCGCTCATGCAGCTCGCCCTGGAGGAAAGCATTGGAAACGTCCATGGAGTGGATCTCCCAATTCCAGCGAGCGCCTAAGTCAAGAAGGAGGCGGAGAGTGGGGAGACGGGCTGTGGGGGAGTAAGTGGCAAAGTAGTCAATGCCTTCACGCTGAGTGAAGCCCTTGGCACAGTAGCGGGCCTTGAAGACAGGAAGTTCGCCGGGCAGCTGCTTGACACGGAAGACCCATTTGCCTTTAACAATAGTGGCGCCAGGGGGGGGGACAGAGTCAATGTAGGAATTGGTTCTGGTAAATGCCTCGCACTCAGCAATGATGGCAGTCATCCATTCAGTGGCATGAAAGCCCGACACAGCCTCGGAGTAGGACAGAGGGGTGGGAATGGCAGCGGTGTCAACAGAAAGAAGAGTGGGAGAATTGCTAAAGTCACCGACGGTGACACACAGAAGAGGAGAAACAGGATGAATGTTGAAGAGCTCCTCAAAGCGATCTTCAAGAAGATTAACATTCTGGGGTGGAGAAAGACGAGTGAAAAGAGCAGAGTGTTGAAAGTTAGAAAGCGCGCGAGTCATGGAGCGAGTAAGGCGCGGGGAAGGGGGGGGAATGGGAACAGGTGAAGGAGGTGGAGAGGAAGATGGAGGTGAGGAAGGGACGGGAGCCGAAGAGGAAGAGGCGGGTGGGGAGGCGCCAGAGATGATGTCGGAAGGGGGGGCAGTAGAGGCTGGCGCGGGTGGAGGGGCGGGAAGGGGCGGGAGAAGGGGGGGGGGAGGAGGGGAGGGAATGACAGACGACGGCTGATCGAAATCAGACCAGCGAAGAGAGGGGACAGGAGGGGCGGGTGGGGGGGAATGGAATGGGGATCGAGTCTCATCGAAAATAACGTCCTGGCTGCGGATGAGCTGGTGAGAGGAAGGGGCATAGAAAAGGTAGCCAGGACAGTCAGAGTTTATGCCAAGGAAGGCACAGAGTTGAGTCTTGGGAGCGAGTTTCCCACCCTGACGGGACCGGTCTGCTGGATTGACAAGAACATGGGCGACACACCCCCAGACCCGAAGAGAGCGAACAGAGGGCTGGCGGCCAGTCCAAAGCTGGAAAGGGGTGGTACTAGGGCGATGAGGATGAGGGCGGAGGTTAGAGAGCAGAGCGGCATGGAGGAGAGCATAGCTCCAAAGAGAGTGGGGAGCAGAAGCATGGGTGAGAAGGCAGCGAGTAATTTCCATGAGAGTGCGATTGCGACGCTCAGCAACCCCATTCTGTTCTGGGGAGTGAGGAAGGGTGGAGGTCTGGCGAATGCCATGAGAAGCACAGTAAGAGGAGAGAGAGTGATGAAAGAATTCGCCACCACCATCTGAGTGGAAGCGCGCGACAGGACGCTGAAAGCGCAGACGAGCCTGCTCAGCCCAGCGAATGATCAGGGAAGGGGCGTCAGATTTGGCACGGAGGGGATAGACAGTGGCAAATCGTGAGTGATCATCAACCAAAAGCAGAAAGTATCGATGACCCTGGCGAGAAGCAGTAGGTGAAGGACCCCAGAGATCCATATGAACAAGGTCAAGGGGTTGGGGAGAGGCAGAGGGAGAAGAGGGATGGGGTGACTGGGATAGCTTGGCCTGGACACATGGGGTGCATGGAGGAGCAGGAGAAGGAGGAAGGGGGGGAAGAGAGGAAGGGAGGCCATGAAGAAGCTTGGAGGAGACCATACTGCGAAGAAGGGGAAAATTGGGGTGGCCAAGTCGATGATGGAGGAGGAGGGTAGGTTGAGTGAGAGAACGACAGTCGCAAGAAGGAACAGGAGGGGCGGAAGCTGAAGTGGCATGATGGGCAGAGGGGGGGAGAGAGACACGAAGAGTGTAGAGGCGAGTGATAGGGGAAAGCGTGAAGCGTGCAAGATGGCGGTTGCGATGATAGAGATCACAGTGGGAGTCACATTCTGGAAAGACAGCTCGCACACAAAGACGTTGAAGAGCAGAGAGAGAAAGAAGGTTGTGGCGGCAAGAAGGAACATAGAGGCCAGTCACAGCACCAGAGGGGGAGGCAGGACAGGGGAGAGAGGAGGTAGCAGTGCAAGTCATGGTCATGGTATCCCCAGCCCCTTGAATGGAGAGGGGATGGGGAAAAGAGCGAAGCACACCAGCGTCACGAAAAACAGAGTCAGTAGCACCACTGTCAAGAACAAACTCAAGCGTGCGAGGGAGGGAAAGAGCAGCAGCTGTGGGACCAAGATACTGAGAATCATTGCCATTAACAGAAGGAGCAAACATCATGGCAAAACGAGGGTCCATAAGGGGAGAAGCCCCCAGAATGCTATCCTGACTAGGCATAGTCACACTGAGAGCAGAGGTTTGAGTACTGGCACCAGAGTCGGCGGCCACAAGTACCGCCTGGGCAGAAGACTGGCGACGCTGACGAGAGAGTTGAAGCCAGTTGGGAGGGCGACCAGTGTTGCCAGCCAGGAACCAGTCATCGGTGAGTTTCTGGAAGCAGGAGGTGGCGGGATGATTGGTGCGACCGCAGGGCTGACCCTTGCGGGGCCCCTGACGAATGATGTAGGTGCAAGGAGGAAAGGTGTTGCGAGGGCGAGAGGAAGCGGCAGCGGCAGTGGTGGTGGGGAGAGGAGGGGGGGCGGAAGAGGGTGCGACAGCGGCGGCAGTAGGAGGGCAGCTGCGGAGGTTGAGCTCTGCCTGGAGGAGGAAGGCAGAGACACGAGAGAACGACCACTGGTCGGCGGGGCGCTCACCATACAGGGTGACATGAACACTGTATTCAGGAGTGAGGCCTGTGAGGAGGAGGGCACCGCAGACATGATCGGAAAGTTCGAACTTTTGAGCAGCAAGTTGGGAGGACAGCGTCTGCACACGAGCGATATAGTCCGCCATGGTGGTGAAGTCAGCAAGGCGAAGAGAAGTGAGCTCGCGTAAGAGGGCAATGACACTGATGGGAGTCTGCGACTGGAAGCGCTCAGTAAGATAGCCGAGAAGGTCCTTGGCATAGCGGATGTGCGAGCACTGAGGGAGAAGGGTTGGAGGTAGGCAGGCAAGGATGACCTGGCAGGCACGTGCGTTGGCAACATGCCAGTCAGCGAGAAGGTCAGAGTGAGATGGAGCAGAAGCAGAGGGCAGAGGGGCAGAGCGAGGAGAAGGGGTAGCGAGATGCTCAGAGAGGCGCTTGCGGGTGCTCTCGAGGGATTCAGAAAGAACACGAGCGAGGTCACGGGCAGCAGCATTGTCAGGAGCAGCCGCGGCAGTGGTTTGGGCCGTGGCCGCAATCCGCTCAGTTTCAGCGATAGCAGCACGAAGGCCATCAGCATAGGGATCGGAGGAGGTAGAGGTAGGTGTAGAGGCAGGTTTAGGAATGGCGCCAGAGCCACTCTGCTGAGTGACAAACCAGAGGTTAAAGCCACTCACGAGGGTGCCAGACAGCGTGCGCTCAAGACAGTTCAGCCAACTGGGGAAGTTGACTGCGCTGCCATCAGGCGCGAGCTGAAGGACCAGCAGAGGGAGGGAGGGGAGGGCGAGAGAAGTCGCCATAAGGAGGAGGAGACAGCTGCAGAGCAGATGAGGGGAGAGGTATAAGAGGCGGAGGAATAAGGGGCGAAGCAGTCTGCTGCTGAGCCGCTGAGGGGAGAAAACAAGAGGAGGAGGGATATGGACGGAGTAGTCTGCTGCTGAGCCGCTGAGGGGAGAAACAAGAGGAGGAGGAATAGTGGGGGAGTAGTCTGCTGCTGCGCCGCTGAGGGGAGAAACTAGAGGAGGAGGGATAGTGGCGAGGTAGTCTGCTGCTGCGCCGCTGAGGGGAGAAACTAGAGGAGGAGGGATAGCGGCGAGGTAGTCTGCTGCTGGGCCGGTGAAGGGAGAAATAAGAGGAGGAGGGAGAGTTGTGAGGGAGTTCGCAGTTGAGCAGTTGAGGGGAGGGTAGTGAGGAGGAGGAAAGGTGGGGAGGAGTACCAACTTAAAAAAAAAAGCGCAATCAACACCAGCTGCAGCAGATGAGGAGAGAAAAGAGGTGGAGGAAAACGGGTGAGATAGTGAGGGATGCACAAAGGAGAGAGGAAAGGAGGAGGAGGGTAAGGGAGGGAGGGCGGATTGTGAAAGGGCAGGGCGCGCCGCAGGGGAGGCAGGCGCGCGCGCTGCTCGACGAAGCGAAGCGCGCGCTGCGACGGCAGCACAATGCGCACGCGACGAGACGGGAGAAGGCGCGGAGCCGGGGGGGGGGGGCTAAGCGCGCTACAAGCAGAAATCGGCGCGCTACCACCGGGAACGTGAAGAGGAAGAGGCGCGACGAAGAGGGAAGGCGCGGGGGAGCGATATGAACGGGAGGGAGGCGCGCTACGGAGCGGAATTGAGTATCCGCGTGACTAAAGTGAAGAAAATCGCGAGGATACTAAGAGTGACTGTAAAGAAACGAGAAAATAAAAAAAAAGGAAAATCGTCTAGCTAAGTAGCGCGGAAATGGCCTAAGGGCCAGAAAATTTCTAAGAGATGCGGATAAAACGGAAACGCCTAGGACTAGGCTCTGAATACCATGTTAAAGTAAGGAAAGCCATGGATGGCGAGAGGCTTTGGTGAGGTTGAAGAAGTTGAACTAGGAGGAGAATGTCGAGATACAAAAGAGAGAGGGTTGGAAACCCTAATTGAACCTAGGGTGTGTTCGGTTTGTTCTAACAATTATGAAATGAACCTAAAATGAACCTGAGTGCGTAACTCGCTCTAAGCCCAGAGAAATAACAATATAAGAACACCAAAATAAAGGCCAGAGCGAGCTCTAGCCTACTCCAACACGAGCGACCTCCATGACCAGGCCAATGCAGCGCTCAGCAACCCCATTCTGCTGTGGGGAGTCCGGAAGCGTGAAGGTCTGCTCGATGCCCTCCGCCTGACAGAAGGTCCTCAAGAGGTCGGAGGAAAACTCACCACCTCTGTCAGAGTGCAGACGCAGGACAGGAAGATCCGTCCGGAAACGGCGGCGGAGCTGGAGACGAACTGTGCGGATCCAAGGGATCAGAACAGCAGGGACCTCACCCTTGGTGCGCAAGGGGAAGACCGTGGTGTAACGCGAGTAGTCGTCGACAACCAGCAAAAAGTACCGCTCACCGCCCTGGCCACGAACGCGGGCTGGGCCCCACACGTCCAGGTGGAGGGTCTGCAGAGGAGCCTCTGTCGGGGGGAACGAGGAGGAGTGAGGAGCGGCGCGCTGCCGCCCCTCGACGCAAGGAAGGCAAGGCGGCGCAGGTGAGGCAGGGAGGGGAGGGAGAGACCTGGGAAGACCAGACACAAGGCGGCGACGGTGCATGCCACGGAGGCGTGGCAAGGAGGGGTGACCCAGGCGGTGGTGCCAGAGAAGAGTCTGGTGCGACAGGGAACGACACTCACAGGCGTGGGCCACCAGACCTGACGCGGACACCTGACCGACAGCAGCGACCTGAGGAGACGCAGTGGTCAGTGTGTAGAGACTCGACCCCGGCCGACGAGTAAACGTAGCCAGGTGACGGCCGGTCCTGGAGCACGTGCAGATCGCCACACGCTGTCCTCCAGGGGTAAAGGTGTCAACCCACTGATCCTGGATGACAGCGTTGCTCACCAGGTTCATCGAGAACGAGGGGAGGTGGAAACCCGTCAACGAGCCAGACGGAACCGCCGGACAAGGGAGCACAGTGGTGGACTGGGCAAGGACTGGGCCCCCAGAGGGGTCAGCCAAGGAGACTGGGACCGGTGCAGGAAGCGGTGTGAGCTCAGTACTGTCTCGAAAGAAGCAGCGGGAAGCACCTGAGTCAAGGGTGAAGGTGTGACAGGTCTCAGCCGGTGCAGTACCTGAGAGAGCAGTCTCTGTGGGTGCTGTACCTGAGAGAGCAGACTCGCAAGCAGCAGGGACAGTGCTGGAGGGAGCAGGTACAGGGGGCACCATACCAGAGAGAGCAGACTCACTAGTACCTAGGGCAGCGGGCCCTATACCTGGGTCAGGCGGCACACACAAGTAACAGTCTCCCTCGGCACTAACAGTCAATGCATACATGGCAGCAATAATGGCATCATAGTCAAGAGCAAAGATATCAACACCAGCCCTCATCAGCTCAGCCCAGCGAGGGCGCTCAACATCCTCGCCCATCTCCTCACGCCAAGCGTCGTCAAGGCGGAAGAAGCAGCGGTACTGAGTGTGGAACTTTCCACACGTCTGCCCCTTGCGATCACCTGTGCGAATGACATAGGAACAGCGGCCACTGCCCCCCGACGTCCCACGCTGAGCAAGCCACTCACGAAGCTGCTGGGTCGACTGGGGACGCTGCTGCTGCTGGGAGCTCTGGCCCGAGCCGGTGCCTCCACTCCGACCTCCACCGCCGCCACTACCTCCGCTCCGACCGCCACCACCGCCACCGCCACCGCCACTGCCGCCACCGCCGCCACTGCCGCCGCTGCCACCACCGCCACTGCTCCCGCCGCCGCCCCCGCCTCCGCCGCCGGCCCCACTCCCACCGGCACTCCCGCCACCGCTCCCTCCAGCACCGCCTCCCCCCCCACCTCCCCCACCCCCTCCCCCCCCAGCGCCACCCCCGCCACCCTTGCCCCCCTTGCCCTTGCCGGTGCGGCGCCTCCCACCAGGAGCAGAAGCAGCGCCAGCAGACTCAGCACCAAGGAAGTCAACAGCAGCAGCAGTAGCATAGGAGGGAGCGAGGGGAGAGGGAGAGCACCCCTCAAAGATGGGGGTGCGAGGAGCGCCGCGAGCAGCACCAACAGCTACAATGCTCTTCTCGGCTGCTAGCAGCTTCTCCTCTAGGAGGGCGACAGTGAGCTCAGTGGGACAGCGAGCAAGGAAATAGTCGCGCACTGAGCTGAGGGTGTCAGGGAGACGGGTGACTATGAAGTGGAGTGCCCAGTACAGGGGAGGGGGGTTCTTAGCGCAGAACTCGGTGGGAAGGGCGGCACGCAGGCGAGCATCACTAGTGCGAAGGTGGGTGATAAGATCGGCGACTGTAGCAAAGGTGGACAGGTCAGGGAACAGGTAAGGCAGCATGAGACGGCTAAGCTCGGCTGTGGCAGGTGAGGAGTAGCGAGCAACGACAGCGTCGTATAGGGCTTTAGCGGTTTTGCAGTCGCCAAAGTGCTCTAGCTCAGCTAACGGCAGGTGACTGCGAATAGCCAGGCGAGCTGCAGCGTCACGAGTCTGCCACTGTGAACGTACACTAAGCTCGGCTGTGGCAGCAGGAGCAGCGGCAGCACCAGACGCGTAGTCATAGAGGGAGATGTGGTCCGTGCTATTGCTCATAAGATACAACTGCAGGTCGTCGAGCCAGGAAGTGAACTGCACGGGACGGCCCTCAGCATCGAAGGAAAGAACGCGAATAGAGGCCATAGCTCAGGCGTGAGGGCACAGCAGAGCAGCGGCAGCAGCAGAGGGGACGCGCTAGAGCGAAGCTAGCAGCCACAGCAGGAGCAAGCGGCGGTGCACAGGCAGGGAGCAGCAGGCGAGGCGGGCGGCGCTGCAGGCGGGAAGTGCGGCGGGCGGGCTGCGAAGCGGGCAGCGGGGCGGGCGGGCGACGCGGCGAGCGGGCAGCGCGGCGGGCGGCTGCGAAGCGGGCAGCGGGCGGGCGGGCGACGCTGCAAGCGGGCAGCGGGCGGGCGGGCGACGCTGCAAGCGGGCAGCGAGGCGGGAGGGCGACGCTGCGAGCGGGCAGCGGGCGGGCGGGCGACGCTGCGAGCGGGCAGCGAGCGAGCGGGCGACGCTGCGAAGCGGGCAGCGGGCGGGCGGGCGACGCTGCGAGCGGGCAGCAAGCGGGCGGGCGACGCTGCGAAGCAGGTAGCGGGCGGGCGGGCGGCGCTGCGAGCGGGCAGCGAAGCGGGCGGGCCGCGAAGCGGGCAGCGAGCGGGCGGGCGGGCTGCGAAGCGGGCAGCGGGGCGAGCGGGCTGCGAAGCGGGCAGCGGGGCGAGCGGGCGACGCTGCGAGCAGGCAGCGCGGCGGGCGAGGGGCGAGCGGGCAGCGTGGCGGGCGGGCGACGCTGCGAGCGGGCGGCTCGGCGGGCGGGCGACGCTGCGAGGGGCGCGCGAGGGCGCTAGCGAGGGGCGCGCGAGGGCGCTAGCAAGGGGCGCGCGAGGGCGCTAACGAGGGGCGCGCGAGGGCGCTAACGAGGGTGCGCGAGGGCGCTAACGAGGGGCGCGCGAGGGCGCTAACGAGGGGCGCGCGAGGGCGCTAACGAGGGCGCACGAGGGCGCTACGAGGCTAGGGCACGGGGTAGCGTGGTAACCGCATGCGAGCGGTGGTGGGCCCTTAAAAAAACGGTCGGTAGGTCCTAGGGACCTCCTGCTCTGAATACCATCTCAGAATAACTAGGCAAGAATGAATGAACTAGCAGAAGTTTGGGTACAAATATGAAACCCTAGTTGGGGTTGTACCCCATATTGGCTACCCCACTACAGCCTACAAGCATAATACAGTTTAACACTTGCGACCTCCTCCACTGTCCTTCCTTGTCCTGCGGTCCCGTCAGGCACACTGTCAGGTCTCTACCTCCCCTCGTTCTCTACGAACTTGGTGGCAGGTAGTGCGCTCCAGGACGGGGGTGTCCACCAGTTTACCCCTGCATACGAGCGCGTGACACACTGCACGTGTGCTCGGACGGGCCGTCACCTGGCTACCTTCACTCGGCAGCCCGGGTCGGACCTGTACACACTGACCACTGAGTCCCCTCAGGTAGCTGCGTCTGCGTCTGCGTCTGCGTCAAGTCAGCTGTCCGCCCCCTGCTCGTGTCGCTCTCTGGCACATGAGACTGTCCTCTGGCACCACCGCCTAGGTCACCCGTCTGTGCAGCGCCTTCGGGCCATGCACAAATGGGACCTTGTTGCTGGTCTTCCCAGGGTTCTCCCTCCCCTCCCACCCTCGCCTGCTCCTCCCTGTCTTCCCTGTGTCGAGGGGCGGCAGCGCGCCGCTCCTCACTCCTCCTCCTTTCCCCCGACGACTGCTCCTTTGCAGACGCTCCACATGGACGTGTGGGGCCCAGCCCACGTCCGTGGTCAGGGTCAGGAGCGGTACTTCCTGATTGTTGTTGATGACTTCTCGCGCTACACCACGGTCTTCCCCTTGCGCACCAAGGGTGACGTCCCTGATGTCTTGATCCCTTGGATCCGCAGATCTCGTCTCCAGCTCAGTGAGCGTTTCCGCTCCGACTTCCCTGTCCTGCGTCTGCACTCTGACAGAGGTGGGGAGTTTTCCTCTGGCCTCCTGGAGGCCTTCTGTCAGCAGGAGGGCATTGAGCAGTCGTTCACGCTTCCGGCCTCTCCACAGCAGAATGGGGTTGCTGAGCGCCGCATTGGCTTGGTCATGGAGGTCGCTCGTACCTCCTTGGTTCATGCGGCTGCCCCCCACTTTCTGTGGCCGTTTGCAGTCCGATACGCTGCGCATCAGCTCAACCTCTGGCCCCGTGTCTCCTTACCGGAGACTTCTCCGACACTGCGTTGGACAGGAGAGGCTGGCGATGCGTCGCGTTTTCGGGTCTGGGGATCTCGAGCTTTTGTTCGCGACACGTCCGCGGACAAGCTCTCCCGTCGCGCTGTCCCCTGTGTCTTCCTTGGCTTTGTCCCGGACGCGCCTGGTTGGCAGTTCTACCACGCCACCTCGCGTCGTGTCCTGGCCTCTCAGGACGTCACTTTTGACGAGTCCGTCCCCTACTACCGCCTCTTCCCCTACCGCACTGCCCCGCTCCCCCCCCCGCCTCTCTTCCTCGCTCCAGGTGCTGAGGTACCAGACCCCCTCCCCCCTCAGGGTGCCGCTCCCTCAGGTGTGTCCCAGGTAGACCCGGGTGAGCCTGTCGAGGTAGCTGTTGACTCTCGTCCTGCTGGGGGTGCTGAGCCTGGGGGTGCTGAGCCTGGGGGTACTGCGTCTGGGGGTGCTGAGCCTGGGAGTGCTGAGTCTGGGGGTGCGGAGCCTGGGGGTGCAGAGCCTGGGGGTAGTGCGCCTGAGGGTGCTGAGTCTGCGGGTGCGGAGCCTGGGGGTGCTGAGTCTGGGGGTACTACACCTGGAGGAGCCCTCTCCTCACAGCGGCTGCAGGAGAGGTACCTACAGTACTGCCGCCTCCGGAGAGGTACTGCTGGAGCTGGTCGCGGTGCTTCCCCTCCTGCCCGGGAGCTCCCCCCCCTCCAGCAGATCCGAGAGTGGTACACGAGGCGCTGCAGTCTTCGGAGTGGTGCTCCTGGTGCTGCGGACCCGGACGTTGGAGCTGCTGCTGGTGCTGCGGACCCGACTGGTGGAGCTGCTGCTGGTGCTGAGGACCCGGCTGGTGGAGTTCCTGCTGGTGCTGAGGACCCGAGCGGTGGCGCTGCTACTGGTGCTGAGGACCCGGACGTTGGAGCTGCTGCTGGTGCTGAGGACCCGGCTGGTGGAGTTCCTGCTGGTGCTGAGGACCCGAGCGGTGGTGCTGCTGCTGGTGCTGAGGACCCGGACGTTGGAGCTGCTACTGGTGCTGAGGACCCGGCTGGTGGAGTTCCTGCTGGTGCTGAGGACCCGCGCGGTGGAGCTGCTGCTGGTGCTGCGGACCCGGGCGGTGGAGCTGCTGCTGGTACTGAGGACCCTGGCACTGGTGTCTCTGCTGGTTCTGGAGACGCTACCCGGCCGCGACCGTACTTCGTACCGCTCCTTCAGCAGGTTCTTGGTCAGGCTCCTCCTCCTTGTCCTCCTCCCTCCGTAGCGTGTCCTCCGCCTGTCCAGTCCCAGTCACAGTTACCGCCTGCCTCGCCTCTCCCTGGTCCCTCTCCTTACACTGGTCCCACAGGAGGTCTTGCAGAGCGTCGTGAGCCTGCGTCTCGTCCTGCGTCGCCTGTTCGTACTGCTCGCACTGGTCGTCGTGTCCCACGTGAGCGTCCTCCTCCTGTCCCTGGCACTCACTACATGACTCTGCGTCCCTCCACTGCTCCTCAGCGTGTCCCGCTGCCGTCTCCTCCTGCGTCCTCTCTGCCTACTCTTCCTGATCCGGAGTCTGACTCCCGTCGTGCTGCCAGTCCCACTGTCACCCGTCTCCTCGCTACTGTTGTCACTGACCCTACCTTTGAGTCCTCTGCTGCGTCTGCTCTGGTCGCTGAGTTGATAGACTTTGCTGCCCGGTGTCGTCTAGACTACGCCACTAGCCTTGTTGCTGAGTCCGAGTCTGAGTCTGTCTGTCCTCCGTCCGTCGGGGGTGTGTGTGCTCTTGGCACTGACGTCCTTGAGGACAGACAGGAGGAGTTCCAGTGCTTTGCTGCTTCTTTGCCCCATCTCGTGTCCATGCTAGTTGCCCCTGAGGGAGACCCGGATGCACCAGACATCCCGACCCCGCGCACCTACGCTGAGGCGATGGCGGGTCCCTACTCCTCTCAGTGGCAGACAGCCATGGACGCAGAGATGGCTTCCTGGAAGTCCACAGGCACCTACGTCGACGAGGTTCCCCCACCTGGGGCGAACATCGTCAGTGGCATGTGGATTTTCAGGGTGAAGCGGCCACCGGGTTCCCCTCCTGTCTTCAAGGCGCGCTACGTTGCTCGAGGCTTCAGTCAGCGAGAGGGAGTTGACTTCTTCCAGACCTTCTCCCCCACCCCGAAGATGACCACTCTTCGGGTGCTGCTGCACATAGCCGCTCACCGCGACTACGAGCTTCACTCACTTGACTTCAGCACTGCTTTCTTACAGGGCAGCCTGCACGAGGAGATCTGGCTACGCCGCCCACTGGGTCGGTTCCTCCTGGTACCCAGTGGAGGCTCCAGCGGCCAGTCTACGGTCTCCGCCAGGCACCGCGTGAGTGGCACGACACACTGAGGACGACACTTGCGGCTCTTGGGTTCGCTCCCTCTACTGCTGACCCGTCACTGTTTCTACGCACAGACACCTCGCTGCCGCCGTTCTACGTCCTCGTGTACGTCGACGACTTGGTATTTGCCACTGCTGACACCGCGGCACTCGCCCACGTGAAGTCGGAGCTGCAGAGGAGACACACGTGCACAGACCTGGGTGAACTGACAAGCTATCTTGGCTTGCGGATCACCCGGGACAGAGCACGGCGCACCATCACCTTGACTCAGTCACACATGGTGCAGCAGATCCTTCAGCGCTTCCGCTTCACGTACTCCTCGCCTCAGTCCACTCCTCTGCCTACCGGTCACTCGCTCTCAGCTCTGCCTTCGGATGAGTCCGTAGAGCCGAGTGGCCCGTATCCAGAGCTTGTGGGCTGCCTCATGTACCTGATGACCTGCACTCGACCTGACCTTGCATACCCTCTTAGCATCCTTGCACGCTATGTCGCTCCTGGCCGTCACAGGAAGGAGCACATGGATGCCGCTAAGAGGGTGTTGCGCTACTTGTGCAGTACGTCGGGCATGGGGCTAGTGCTTGGAGGGCGAGACCGAGTGGTACTTACTGGACACTCAGACGCTTCTTGGGCGGACGACCAGGCTACTCAGCGGTCGTCTCAGGGTTACACCTTCAGCCTTGGCTCCGGCTCAGTTTCTTGGCGTTCTACACGCTCTTCTTCTGTTCTCAGCTCCAGTTGTGAGGCTGAGATCTACGCCACAGCCATGGCTGCCCAGGAGCTACGCTGGCTGACCTACCTGCTGACCGACCTGGGAGAGCGGCCTCGTTCTCCTCCAGTGCTGTACGTCGACAACCAGGCTGCCATTGCCTTGTGTGAGGAGCACAGACTGGAGCACAGAACGAAGCACATTGCCCTGCGGTACTTCCTTGCTCGAGAGCTGCAGCAGCGTGGTCAGCTACGTCTGCGTTACGTGGCCACTGAGGCCAACCTTGCTGATGTGTTCACCAAGGCGCTTCAGCCTTGTGACCATCAGCGTTTCTGTACTCTTCTAGGCCTTGTGCCTGCTGGACCTCACTTGCTTACTTCTTGACTCTGCTTGTACTGTGATCTTATATATATGCCTGCATGTTTACTCTTGCTAGGTTGTGATCACTGTATCTCTTGCTATTTTATCAACCTGCATGTGAACTGGTCTTGTGACCACTTGCTTGTGCTCGGAATTTGTGTGGTATCCTTGAGATCCACCCTGAGCTTGTTTTGCTTTGCTTTGACTGGTCTTGTGACCCCTTGCTCTCCCCCACTTTGCCTATGGGGGTGTGTCAAACATTATATGTGTTGTGCTTGTTTAGGCTGCAGTGGGTTAGCCTATAGGGGGTACACAATTCTAGGGTTAGGTACTTGTACTCATTTCACTGCTAGTTCATTCATTCCTCGTTCAGTTCTTCTGACATCTAGCCTGCAGTGGGGTACTCTATAGCGAGTATAGCCCAAATTAGGGTTTGCTATATGTACTCAACTGCCTGCTAGTGAAAACTCTCTTTCCTGCTTCTTGTTTCTGCCTATGATTTCGACATGCTATCAGAGCGGTTACGCTCCTGGCCTGTGGGCCCAACGCTAGCTTCTGCTGCTGTCCTGTCTGTCGCACGCCCCATGGCGTGTGACGTTTTTTCTTCCCGCCACGCGCTCGGGGCGCATGGCGGTTTTCTGCTCGGCGGTTTTCTGCCCGGCGTGCGCCTCGGGGCGCGCAGCGGTTTTCTGCCCCGTCGACCCGCGCGTCGCCCCCCGTCGACGGTCGCGTCGCTCCCGCTGCCTCGTCGCGGCGCCCTGAGGAGCCGCACGCAGCCCCTGCTGCTTCGTCGCGGCGCCCTAGGGAGCCGCGCGCGGCCCCTGCTGCCTCGTCGCGCCGCCCTGGGGAGCCGCGCGCGGCCCCCCGCTACCCTGTCGCGGCGCCCTGGGGAGCCGTGCGCCCCCCCCCCCCCCCCCCCCCCCCCCCCCCCCCCCCCCCCGAGCTGCTGCCCGCGCCGTCCCCCGCTGCTGCCCACGCTGCTGCCTGTGTTAGGGTTTGCGGATAGTGAGTGTGGGGGTGGCGAGTATGGGGGTGACGGGTGTGTCAGGCCTCCACTGCTCCTCCTCCTCCTCCGTCTCCCACTGCTGCAGCTGCCGCTGAGGGGGTTGGATGTGTGGGAGTCGTCGGAGTGGTACTAGGGGGGTGGCGTGTGAGCAGTGCTAGGGGTACAGCAGGGAGTGTGTGAAAGGGGTGTGGGACAGCTGGGGGAAGTTGAGTGGAGGCAGCCGTCTTGTCGTCCGCAGCGCCTGTAGTCTAGGTTTAGCCTGCTGCGCCTGTGGCCGTGTAGTCCGGGGCTCTGCGCCTGGTAGCCACAGTGCTGCGCGCTCCTGGTAGCACAGAGAGTCAGCTGCGCCTGTCGCCGTGTAGTCCGGGGCTCTGCGCCTGGTAGCGACAGTGCTGCGCGCTTCTGTTGCGCGTGTGTCTGCAGCTTCAGCCATAGCCTCCCATCTTCTCGCCCCCACAGTTTCTCCTCCTCCTCGCTTGCCCTCTGTGACAGCCTCTAGCTTGCTTATTCATTGTAAACTATTACTATGACTGCTTGCTGTGCTGATTATACCCCACTTTGACTATGGGGGTGTGTTAGAATGTGATGTTTGTCTAGCCTGCAGTGGGGTACTCTATAGCGAGTATAGCCCAAATTAGGGTTTGCTATATGTACTCAACTGCCTGCTAGTGAAAACTCCTCTTTCCTGTTTCTTGTTTCTGCCTATGTTTTCAATAGGCTCATCCTGGACCTCATCAACCAGAAGATCACGAATGCGTGCAATGTTATTTTCTACAAGCGGCTATTCCTCGAGCAATTCCGCGAAGATGAGCAAGCAAACACAAACCGCGTTTACGCTAACGACAGGCACAATTACGCCACGCCTGAAGATGAAGTTGCCGCAGCTATCCGGAGCAAGGCACCAGAGGTGAATTCACAGGAGGAGATCGCCACAGTAGCGACGACGACGACGAAGACTCCTCAGGAGGAGGATTCAGCGGAACAGGAGGAAGCGGGAGAGGCGCAACACCACCACCGCCACCTGAACCGGAGAGTGATGACGATGACGTGCAGGAGGTCATCCCGCAGCATTGCCACGACAGCACCGTCTCAGGACTACAACTGTTAGGGCTCCACGCCGCCACCTCAACGGCGCCACGTGTCTTTGAGCCCAAGAACCCGCGCCAAGCACTCACGGGACCACACAACAAGGAGTGGTGAGAGGCAATGGACGCAGAAATCAGGGCACTCAAATCTTGCGATACCTGGATGCTCGCCGATCGCGCAACAACCAAAGGGAAAAAATTTCTCTTCGGCAAGTAGGTCTTTCGCGTGAAGACCGCAACGGACGGTATGATCGAACGCTTCAAGACACGATGGGTCGTGCGCGGCTACAATCAGAGGCAAGGCATCGATTTTGACCAGACGTTCGCGCTGGTCAGCCGTCACACCTCTGTCAGAATCTTGTTTGCCATCACCACCGCGAGACACTTACCGCTCCATCAAATCGACGTGAAGAACGCAATCCTTCATGCGCTACTGGATGCGGTAATCTACGTGGAGCAGCCCCACACGTACGACGAAGGGGACTCGTGTGTGTGCCAGCTACGAAAAACCCTCTACGGGATCAAACAGGTGCCAAGGTTCTGGCAGCAATACCTGCACAACATCCTGCTTGAGATAGGCTTCAAGCAACTGGGATGTAGCGGGGATGTACTGCCACAATTTTTGCGGCGACTACATTCTACTCACGGTCTACGTTGACAGCTTGCTTTACACAGGGTCGAGCAATGAGCTGCTCGAACAATTCGAAAAGAATCTAGCGGGGTGCGTCCACATCACCTGCAACCACGACGCGAAGCAGTTCCTCGGCCATAATATCTCCTACGCGCCAGAAGCCATTCATCTCTCAACCGCCAAGTGCGCAAAGGAACTTGGCAAACTCTTCAACAGTGCGCCTGCACCACTCTCCACCCCTTACCGCACTTTCGAACCGAACCACAAACCTAACAACAAAACCCTATCCCCTTTTGAAATTCATTCTTACCAACGGCAGCTGGGATGCCTGCTCTTCGCCTCTGTCACATGCAGGCCTGACATTTCCTACATCGCGAGCCAACTTTTCCAGTACTCCGGCAAACCTACGGTTGAGAACCTTCTGGATCTACAGCGCGCAGTTCTTCATCTCCACGCCCAAGATTGGGCTCTGCTACTCAGCTATGCCACCTCCATCATTCAACCTCATCAGCTACGTGGACGCCGATTACGCAACAGACCCCGACAATCGACGGTCCAATCTCATGGAACTTACAGAAGCAGGAGCAGGTTGCCCTGTCATCTGCCGAAGCTGAATCCATCGCCGCGACAGCAGCAGTTCGAGAGGGTCTCTACTTGCAGGAACTCTTGCAAGAAGCGAACATTCCAGCCTCTCCGACCTTCCGTCTGCACTGTGACAACCAGAGCGCGATCCGCATCGCGAACAAGCCTGGGTTCGTCAACCGCACCAAACACATCGCATTGCGGTACTTCTTCGTCAAGGATGAAGTGGACAAGGGGAAGGTGGACTTGACGTACTGCCCAACAGGTGACATGGCAGCTGACTTTCTGACAAAGCGACTGCCACGTCAGTAGTACCAGCACTGCTCCGAACTCAGCGGAGTAGTCAAGTGGGTCAAGTCAAGTTACGGTCAGGAGTGAAGGGGGGTGTTACGAATGGCAAATTAAGAAGAGACGTTGTACACTTCTGACAGTAGCTAGCGAGACACACAGTATCGGAGTTGGAAACGAAGAGTCAGAAGTGCCTCGAAGCGATGCGAACAGTTGGAGACAAGGCTCAGGTTATCAGTGTAATTTACCCTTCTACACTGATTACAAGGGTGAAATTTTGGGTCTACACTAATGTGTTGGGGTAATTTTTTGATGAGCTAGTGTTACACTGATCTGTAAGTGTATCGACGTAGGCCACACTGATGCCTTGGGGTAAATTCTCCCTTAGCGAAGATTACACTAAAGAGCGCACAGGGAAGGGACCTCCCCCTTCCCCCCCTCTCCCTCTTCCCCGAAATTTGTCAGATCGCGATTCCCAAAAATCACGCAAGTACCGAGGATTTCTTCGCTTCAATACGAGCATTGGCCGCAGTGACGTGTCTGATTGGTCTGTTAGGAATGATTCCCTTGCCAGCACGCCACGAAACCGAACCTAGATGTTACCTGTACCGTAATAGATTAAGACTTCGCGAACATCTGTCAGTGTTTGAAAAAAAACCACACTGATGATGCAGGATAAAAATTTCAAAACCTGATGTTACACTGCTCTATCAATGTAACGAAAAAGCACACACTGCCCATAAGGGTTTTTGAAAAAGCTACACTGCCAATCGTGAGTAGGCCAAATCCAAACCTGAGCCCTGGTTGGAGAGCATCCAAACAGTTGGAGCCCATATGGTCGGGCAACTACAGAAGCAAGGGAATTGGCGGGAACAGTTTCGTAACTGTACGCGCCGCACGGTTGGGTTTGAATTTGAATAAGGGAATGTACCCCTTAGAGTACATGACTAGCCAGGACACTTGATATTCCCTTGTAGTACTATGTAAATGTTTATATCTACACGTTAAAGATCATCTCAATCATTTTACATTCACTCTGATTTGAGGTCAAGGGCCCACCACTACCACACACACTTTGTGAAACTTCCCGAGGTGATCCTGGTTACGATCAACTCTTGAGTGCAGCAAGCGAAGGCATGAAAACACTTTTAGCGAACATGCAAACGGTAACGAGATGCTGACAGTGATGTTCGGGCTAGTCCCGAAGCGTAGGCCGACTCGGCCGGGCCAGCGGTGCATGGCTTGGGAAATGTAGCGCGTAAAGGTGGCGAAACTGTCAGACATACTAACTTAGGAGCCTAGGGTTTAACCTAGGCGAGAGTGACGAGAGGAATATGCAAGCCAAAAGAGGGCTTAACTAAGGAGAATCCAAGGTACAAATAGGAAAGGGAAACATGCAATGAGGTATACCACCAACCAGGAAGTAAGATAACTACACTAGGCTACTGTATGCATTTATATGAATGTATACAACAAATACATTTCAACACACCCCCTAAATGCCTACAGTGAGAACCCGTGTGCAGCACAAACCCTGCAGGGGTACACCAGGTGCAGTGGAAGAAGCAGCAGCAGGCAATAACAGTGGCAGCCGGTGCATTAGTGGCATATACAGCTGTAGCCAACCCTCAGCCAAGGCAGAAACATAAGCAGGGGTAGGGGCGGCAGGTCGCCTGAGGAGCAGGCTCTGTGGCTGCAACGTGCAGCAGGACAGCAGCGGCTCGACGGCAGCACCTGCAGGCCCCAGCAGCAGGCAGCAGAAACAAGGGCAGGTGGCGGCAGGGGCGGCAGCAGGAGGTGCCACGGTAGCAGCGGGTGGCAGCTGTAATTTCCCGACTGACTTCCGCCACCCTCTCTTACCCCCCCCCCCACAGCAGCACGAGCGGCAGTGAGAGAGAGAGGAGGGGCGGCTGCTGGCTTTGCAGAATCTCGCTCGCCACCCCCTCACCCTCCCCCTCCCCCCACGGGTGCGCGACCAGCAGTGAGAGGGAGGAAAAGGCGAGCAACGCGCCAGCCCCACACCCTCCCCCCTCCCTTTCACTGGCGTATGAGCAGCAGGTGCGGGGCAGGGGAGCGGCGCAGCTGCGCGCGGCCATACGCGGCTGCGCGCGGCTGTGCGCGGCTGCACGCGGCCGTACGTAGCTGCGCGCGGCTGCACGTGGCTGTGGCAGCTCGTAACGGGACGAGGGGCGGGGCAGCTCGGGACGGGGTGGGTAGCGCGGGGCGGGTGACAGGGCGAAGGAGCAACGGGGCAGAACGAGCCGCCCAGCTTGTCGCCATGACAGGCAGGCTACGGGTAGCAGCAGACCGCTCGCCGTCGCGCCCCTCACGTCAGTCGCAACTAAGGGCACGACGGGCGCCACGAAACGAGAACTACGCGGTGGGCCCATGGGGTATTAAAAAACAACAGGCCAGGATGTTACGTGCTCTGATACCATGTCAGACATACTAACTTAGGAGCCTAGGGTTTAACCTAGGCGAGAGTGACGAGAGGAATATGCAAGCCAAAAGAGGGCTTCACTAAGGAGAATTAAAGGTACAGAAAGGAAAGGGAAACATGCAATGAGGTATGTTGGGCTGAGAAAAGCCCTAGGATCTTTGCAGAGGTGAATTCGGGAGTAGGATAATTGTAATAGCGGAAGCGTTTTAGTGAAGAAGTTGTGAACCACCTTGCGCTGGTATGTGAGGGCAAAGTAAGTTGATTAAAGCAAAGAGATACAAGGGTTTATTTAAGAGTACAGAGAATATGAAGAGATACAGTTATAACTACTTTACTGTTGCTGTTGCGGTTCGATACAGTGACGACTCGGGCAACTGCTCTGTAGCGAGTCAGTTGTGTGTCCTTGCTGTCGCGCTGTATTTTGTCAGGTCAAAGGTCTCTGACCTTTGACTTTCGCGTAACCTCCAGCAACCTCTCAACCTCCGAGGGTTGACTCGCGGGTGCTTCGGTATGATTCACTTCGCTTCTGGTGCGGTGTTTCGACACGACAGAGGCGCTTACGATTTGTTATTTCCAACACTCCCCTTCGCTTCTGGAGTGTCGCAGTCAATGACGTGGCCCTGTCCGGTCAGCAGCATACAGTACTCGAATTTCTGCTTTCCGAGTTTCTTGGTCAAATAGTCAGCTGCCATCTCGGACGTGGGGCAGTATGACAGTTCGAGTCTCCCCTTCTCGATCTCGTCCTTCACGAAGAAGTAGCGCAGAGCCCTGTGTTTCGTTCTGTTCGCGAAGCCGCTTTTGTTGGCTATGCGAATTGCCGACTGGTTGTCGCAGAACAGGGTGAAGTTGGGTAACTCGGCCAACTTCGCTTCTTCCAGCAGCTCGCGAAGGTAGAGTCCTTCCTTGGTGGCTGAGCAGAGTGCGATATATTCTGCTTCAGCTGATGAGAGGGCGATTAATTCCTGCTTGCTCGACTGCCAGGAGATAGGACCGATAGGTTCCAAGCGGTAGATGTAGCCGGTGCACGAGCGTCTGTTATCAGAGTCGCCGGTGTGATCTGCGTCGACGTAGCCGATTAACTTAGGCGTTGTAGTTGTGTTTTTGTGGTAGGTCAGGCCGATCGTCGGGGTGCTGACGAGGTAGTGGAGAGCACGATCGAGCTCCCCCAGGTGTTCCGCTTCAGGCCTTTTGAGGTAGGTGGCGAGCTGGCTTGCGGAATACGATAGGTCTGGGCGGCAGGTAACGGCTGCGAAGAGAAGGCAGCCTAGCTTTCTCTGGTAGTCGCGTATGCCGGCGGGTTTGAGTAGAACGGGGTCTTCTTTGCTATTTCCTGCCGTGTAGCGGTATGGTGTGGAGATGGCGGACGGTGTGAGAGCGAAGCGTTTGGCGATGGTGTCGGCGTATTTCGCGGCGCTGAGGTAGATCGCGTCTTCTTCTTCTCGGATGTTGAGGCCGAGGTACTGTGTGACGGTAGATGAGACCGTGAGCGTGAGGTCTTGTTGCAGCTCCCCTTCGACCGTTAGGTGGTGACGTTGTCGGTCGACCCGATGTAGAGGAGATCGTCTACGTAGACGATTAGCAGAATCTAGTCCGTGCCTTTCGTGAGCATGTACATCCCTTGATCGTGTGGTAGCTGCTTGAAGCCGATGCGAATGAGGCGAGCGTGCAGGTACTGCTTCCACAGCCGCGGAGCTTGCTTGATGCCGTACAGGGATTTGAGCAGTTGGCAGACTTGGTCAGGATTTCGTTGGTTCCGTGTGGTAGTTCGACGAAGATTTCAGCGTCGACGGGTGCGTAGAGGAAGGCATTTGCGACATCGATTTGCCGCAGCTTCCTTTTCTTCATGGCGGCGATCGCGAGGAGAATTCAAAGCGAGGTGTGTCGGCTGACCGGTGCGAAGGTCTCGGTGAAGTCCCGTCCGTGCTCCTGGTCGAAGCCCCGCACGACCCATCGTGCTTTGAACTTCTCGATGGTGCCATCTGCTTTCGTCTTCACGCGGAAGACCCATTTCCCGGTGAGAATGGTCTTGTTCCGTGCTACGCCGATAGGGACAATTTTCCACGTGTTGCGCTCCTCTAATGCCTTCAGCTCCTTATCCATGGCTTCGCGCCATTTTTCCCTATACCCCCCCCCCTAGAGCCTGCTGAACTGTCGCAGGCTCCTTAGGAATCTCTGCTCCGTGGACTGCGGTGACGAGGCCGAGGATTTGCAGTCCACTCTGTGTGTAGCGGGGGAGTGTGGTGTCCTCGGGATAAACTGCTTCGTCTCCTGCTTCAGGTGCTGGGTTGAAATTTGGTCCTACGCATTCTGCTTCGTTGGTGTTGACCTGTGCAGGTGTAACGTAACCGTTGTCGGCGAAGTGGTAGTATGTTTCAGCGTTGATGCTTTCGCGAGGATTCTCGTCGTCCATCGGAACGTCGACGGAGCAGTAAGGGAGAGGTCCGGCTTCCTCCGAGGCTCGGTCCACATTCTGCTCGTCCCAATCAGCTTCGTCTTCTGCCGAGGCGAAGGCTCGATCTCCACAAAAGCCACCTGTGGGGTCTTGGTTTTCGTCCAAGTTGGCAAGGTACGTTGGAAGTGTGAGTCGCTCGTAGAAGATGACATCACGTGCTGCCACTGTTTCTTTTGTCTTGACGTCGAAAATCTTCCATGTGTTGTAGTGTTTATCGATGCCCAGGTGTAGTCCCCACTGTGCGCGTTGGGAGAATCGGCCGGCTCGTGCAGCTGGGGGTCGGTACTGTACCATGCACCCAAAAACTCGTAACATTTTTGTGCTGCCCAGTTTTCCTGTCCACAGCAGATGCGGTGATGCGTTGTTCGGGAGTGACGACGAAGAAAGCAAGTTGTGCAGCATTACGGCGTGGTCCATTGCCTCGGGCCACTGGTGGTTGGGTAGCCGCATGCCACGTAGCAGCTTGCGCATGGTGTTCTGCAGGGTCCTGTTCATCCTTTCTGCTACACCCTGCTGTTGATGAGCGTAGGGAAGGGAGATGAGCCTCTTGATCCCCCTTTCTGCCAGGTATTGCTTGAACCTCTGTGAGGTGTATTCTCCTCCCCCGTCTGATTGAAAGCTTTTCAGTTTTACGCCCGATTCTCTTTCTGCTACGGGAAGCCACGCGACGAAGGCTTCGAAGGCCATGTCCCTGCTCGGAAGGTTGAGGTGCCAAACGTAACGTGTGGCGGCGTCGATGAAGGTGATGGTGTAGTTGTATGCGTTTTGTCCGGGGACGCGGTTGTACAAGATGTCGCTGTACACCTTTTCGAGAGGCGCGTAGACCTGAGCGCTGGGGTTGTGGTGAGATGGAAACGGTTGGTGCGGTAAGTCTGCTTCAGGACAGGTGAAACGTGTCCCTCGTGCTCGTTGAAGTTCTCGTCCGTCTGTCAGTAGTATTGAATCTTTGTCGAGTACTCCTGCTCTTATCGTGTTGTTTAACACTGTGTTGCTTGGGTGTCCTATCTGGGCGTGCCAGGTACTTTCGTCGGCGCGATGTCCGGGTGATCGTCGATACAAAACGGAGTTGGAGTTGAAGCTGGCAGTGAAATTTGCGCTTCGGTGAACTTCTCGTTGAGTCGGGGTTAGCTGCTGCGTGGGTGTCGGTGGCGAATCATCGATGAAGATTGGTGCCGTTGAAGGACCGGCGATTGGTGTCGATGTTGCCGCTGCTGCTGTCGTTGTCTCTGCTGCTGCCGATGTTGTCTCTGCTGCTGCCGATGTTGTTTCTGCTGCTGCCAATGTTGTCTCTGCTGCTGCCGATGTTGTTTCTGCTGCTGCCGATGTTGTCTCTGCTGTTGCCGATGTTGTCTCTGCTGCTGCTGATGTTGTTTCTGCTGCTGCCAATTGTTGAATCGTCGCTAACGCCCTTGTTCTTTCTGCCTCAGGTATCGTGTGGGAATGCCAGAAGCCGCCGGGACTGAAGTCTGGATCAAGATCTGGAGGGTGTGTCCAGTTGGTGAAGCTGATGATAGCGTCGCTGTCAGCAGTACCGAGATCGGGAACGAAGTCAAGAACAAAGACGTTATTTTTTAGGACCGCCTTTCCAATGTAAAGGCCTCCTCATTCGTGGTACAACTTGAATTCTTGAGTGGTGCTGTCTGCTTCGAGATGGATGCCCTTCGCCATCAGTTGGCTGACGCTGAGTAAGTTATATCCAAGTCTTTCTGCTATTAGAACCTTTGACATCTACAGTATCACGTTTGTTTCTCGTGACTGAAGTTGAACCACTCCTTGTCGTCGTGTGCGCAGGTTTTGATTATTGGCGACGGTGATGACTACTTCGCGTTGAAGTTGATACTCTCGCTGCACGAAGCGTCCTGAAGAACACATGTGTTGTCCACAGCAACTGTCCAAGAACCATGTGTCCTTCCCGGATGGCTCACTCTGGGCGATAGCGGCGTATGTCGGGTTCGGCTGAAGTGACTCGCGGCGAGGTGTAGTGTCGTCGAGTTGTTCTTCCGGTGAGTAGTACGGTGGTGACTTGGTGATGCAGGAGTCACTTAATCTTGCCATGCAGCTGACGATGTTCCTTGCTCCTTGTGCAGGTTGTCCCGTTGATGTCGTTGAAGCTTGAATTTGGGTCGTGGGATTCGCTTGTGTTGAGGCAATTTGGTTGCTTGAGAGTCGAAGGTGTCGTTGTGGAGGCGTTGACTGTTGTCGATTCGGGCAGTGCGTGCGCGGGTGCCCTGACGTCTTGCAGATGTGGCAGAACGGAGGTACGTATTTTTGTTGTTGTCGGTTGTTGTTGTTGTTGTAGCGTCGCTGAGTATGAAAGGCGAATTCAGGTACTGATGTCTTCCTCTTGTGTCGTTCCTCTTGCAGTTCCATGTCTTGCTGCTCAGCGTGGATTTTGGCGCAAAGTGTTGCTTCGGAGATTCTTCCCGTGGGCTCGGAGGATAGCTTTGGTGGCGCAACATTGAGGACCGATACCGCCGATGATGACTGTCACGAAGGCGTCTTCAGATATCGACCCTCCGCATCGAAGAAGCTTGTCGCGCAGTTCGCGACATCGGCTGATATACGCCATTCCTTTCTCGCCAGGTTTCATTTCGACTGTTGTCAACTGCGCCATTAACCTGCTCTGGTTTACACTGTCTGTTGCTTGATACAGGTTCTTCAAGTGGTTGTATGCGAGCTCCGCGGAGTTGCCGTAACCCCGGTAAGACCGTATATTCTGCTGCTGAGTCGGTGTGATGTTCCTCAGTAGAATCGTGTACGCCATCATTGACTGATAGGTGTACTGCTGTTTCTCGTACTGTGTGCCATTTGTTGGGTATGGCAGGGACCCGTCGAAGAAGCCGAGTATCTGCGCGCCTTCCATCATCAACTCGAATTCAAATGCCCAGGTAAAGAAGTCCTTTCCGTCGAAGGGCCTTGATGTCTGCAGCTTTAGAACGTGCGCGAACTGCGACTGAACTTGCAGTGCGTCCAGTGGTTTCTCTTGTCCAGGTGAAGGCTGCGGGTGCGGCATGAAGCTGATGGACCCGCGCTCGTACGGAGCAAAGGTAGGCTGCTGCTGTTAATTTTCGCGTGCATATGATGAGCCGTCGAGACTCATGGGAGTCACATCGTTGTTGTTGTTGCTGTTGTTCGATTGCGCAGGTGCCGACTGCTGGTGTTGCTCGTAAAACGACATGAAGGAGAAGAACTTCTCCATCATGCTCTGGTCGAAGCTGGCAGGTTGACTTGCTGAAGGTGCTGCTGGTCCCGTTGCTGTACCCTCCTCTGTCTGTAGGCTAGAGGCAGGAGGTGGTGTAGGAGTAGTGCCCTGGGAGCCGTTAGAGGAGCTCCTTTCCTTTTGTGTTGCCATGTCTTGCGATGTTTTAATAGTAGTCGAATTCCCCTGATCGCTCTCATACCATGTTGGGCTGAGAAAAGCCCTTAGGATCTTTGCAGAGGTGAATTCGGGAGTAGGATCATTGTAATAGCGGAAGCGTTTTAGTGAAGAAGTTGTGAACCACCTTGCGCTGGTATGTGAGGGCAAAGTAAGTTGATTAAAGCAAAGAGATACAAGGGTTTATTTAAGAGTACAGAGAATATGAAGAGATACAGTTATAACTACTTTACTGTTGCTGTTGCGGTTCGATACAGTGACGACTCGGGCAACTGCTCTGTAGCGAGTCAGTTGTGTGTCCTTGCTGTCGCGCTGTATTTTGTCAGGTCAAAGGTCTCTGACCTTTGACTTTCGCGTAACCTCCAGCAACCTCTCAACCTCCGAGGGTTGACTCGCGGGTGCTTCGGTATGATTCACTTCGCTCCTGGTGCGGTGTTTCGACACGACAGAGGCGCTTACGACTTGTTGTTTCCAACAAGGTACACCACCAACCAGGAAGTAAGATAAATACACTAGGCTACTGTAGGCATTTATATGAATGTATACAAATACATTTCAACAGAAACATCGTTGGCAGTAACGGGCGAAGAAACGGTTGGTCCCGTACGCGATGTTGAGATGCGCCACAAGGAATGTCGGAAAATTCTCTACAGATACACATCATATACACCAACAATGTTGAACTACACATATTTGTAAATATAAAATATTGTTTCACATGTAGTCGGAAGTTGCACACTGTTATCAATTGAATAAATTTTTTAAGCCTAGTTATTGTGATGAGAAATTATTCTTTTAACAAAACCGATATATACCTAGTTTATCTCATTATAACTTACCCATCCCGTACGGCGTACATAATCCCCAAGACACACCTGCTTGGATTGGTCAACCCTGTTTTCCCTCATCCAGCGCAACTCGTATTCCCTCACCCTCACCTAGCGCACCTCTCTCTTCCCGCCATAAATTTCCAAGGGGAGTTAGCTGTGTCGGGTGTCATCTAGGATCTGTTAGCAATGGTCAAGGCCAGAGACCAGTGAGTTAGGCTTCTCATATGTCGGTGCCTTCCGTACCGCATTTCACATTCGCGACACGAAATTTCTCAAAATTGATCGCTGGCAGGGCGATTTGTCAAACATTATACATGTTATATTTGTGTAGGCTATAGTGGGGTAGCCTATAGGGGGTCACAATTCTAGGGTTTCATATTTGTACCAAACTCACTGCTAGTTCATTCATTCCTTGTTCAGTTATTCTGACATGGTTTCAGAGCAGGTCCTTCGCTAGGACCTAAGTTTTTTTTTTCGGGCCCACCTCTACTACCTACTTCCTACCTACTGTCGGAGTGCTGCGTTAGCGCCTCCCCCTCAGCGCCCTCGTGCACCTTCGTGTACAGCCCCTTAAGGCCCCGTCGACCCCGCACGCTGCCCCTTAGTGGCCCCGTCGCACCCGCGCGCGCCCCGATTCCGGCCCGCTTGGCCCCGTCGACCCCGCGCGCACCCCGTTTAGCGGCCCCGCGGCCCCGTCGACCCACCCTAGAGGCCCCACGCGCAACTCGTTTAGCGGCCCCGCGGCCCCGTCGCCCCGTCGACCCTCACCTAGCGGCCCCGCGGCCCCGTCGACCCACCCTAGAGGCCCCGCGCGCACCTCGTTTAGCGGCCCCGCGGCCCCGTCGCCCCGTCGACCCTCACCTTGAGGCCCCGCGGCCCCGTCGACCCACCCTAGAGGCCCCGCGCGCACCTCGATTAGCGGCCCCGCGGCCCGGTCGCCCCGTCGACCCTCACTTAGAGGCCCCGCGGCCCCGTGCGCACCCCGTGTAGCGGCCCCTCGGCCCCGTCGAGCCCCGCTTAGAGGCCCCCGCGGCCCGGTACTCCCCCGCTTAACAGCTCCGCGCAACCGAACCGAGCCGCGCCGCCCTACCTGAACCGAGCCGCGCCGTCAGACCGAGCCGCGCCGCCCGTACCAGCAGCCTACGTCTACTACTACTGCTCCTACTGCTACTACTGCTGCCACTATGGCCAGTCCTCCCGTGCTTGCTTTCGATGCTGAGGGCCGCCCAGTGAAATTTGACACCTGGCTAGATGACCTGCACCTCTTCCTACAGCTCACTGCCAAGGAGGATATTTCGCTGTACGATCATGCCCTCGGTCACGCTACTGCCCCTCCTACCACTGCAGACAGCACTCAGCGCTCACAGTGGCAGACTCGTGACGCCCACGCTCGCTTCGCTATTCGCAACTCCCTGCCACTAGATGAGCGCGAGCACTTTGGCCAGCACAAGACTGCTAAAGCCCTGTACACTGCTGTAGTTGCTCGTTACTCCTCACCTGCCTCTGCCGCACTAGGCCGCCTCACCCTCCCCTACCTGTTCCCCGACCTGGCCTCCTTCAGCACAGTCGCTGACCTCATCACCCACCTCAGGACCAGTGAGGCCCGCTTTCGCGCTGCTATGCCTGACGAGTTCCTTGCCAGCAACCCCCCCCCGCTCTGGATCACGCTCTACCACATCGTCACCCGCCTCCCTGACTCTCTGCGCGCAGTCAGGGATCACTTCCTCGCTCGCTCTCCCACTGAGCTCACCATTGCCCTCCTCGAGAAGGAATTGCTTGCAGCTGAGGCGAGAATCGTCGCTGTAGGCACCTCTCGTGGCGACCCCCGCACCCCGTTCTTTGAGGGGTGTTCCCCTTCCCCTCTCCTCCCCTCTGTCGCCTCTGCTGCTGCTGTCGACCTCCTTGGTGCTGAGAAGGTCGGGGCCGCGTCTGCTCCGAGCGGGCGCCGCAGGGGCAAAGGGGGCAAGGGTGGAGGTGGCGGCGGAGGAGGTGGGGGTGGAGGCGGTGGGAGTGGAGGAGCGGCTGGGGAGGCTAGTGGCGGCAGTGGGGGTGGTGACAGCAGCGGCGGGAGTGGCGGCAGGGGTGGAGGCGGCAGCGGAGGCGGAGGTGGTCGTGGCAGCGGCAGGGGTGGAGGTGGCCGAGGCGGTGGCGGCGGCAGTGGTGGTCGTGGAGGCGCTGGCGGTGGACAGAGTCAGCAGCCCGCCCCGTCGCTTCAGGCCGCCCGTGAGTGGTATGCGCAGCGTGGCTTTACCTGCACGTACGTCATTCGCACTGGTGACCGCACTGGCCAGCAGTGTGGGAGGCCGCATCCCACACAGCGCTGTTTCGCGCGCCTTACTGACGCGTGGCGTGCCCAGTTTCCTGATGCCACTGACCTGCCCCACTGGGCTGATCTGGAGAAGAAGGGAGTTGATATCTGGGCTTTAGACTTTGATGCTATTCTCACTGCCATGTATGCGATGTTTACTAGTGGAGAGGGTGCTCAGTACTTGCGTGTTCCGCCCGACCCGGGCATTCTGACCAGTCCGGCTGCCGCTCTAGGTGCTAGTGAGTCTGCTGCCCCAGGTCCTGGTGAGGCTGCTGCTCTAGGTGCTAGTGAGTCCGTGCCCTCTGGTACTGAGTCGACTGCAGCACTGCACACCTTCACACTAGACTCAGGTGCTTCTCGCTGTTTCTTTCGTGACCGCACTGTCCTTGAGCCGCTTGCTCGGCCAGTTGCTGTCTCCCTCGCTGACCCCTCAGGGGGTCCGGTCGTTGCGACCTCCTCCACTGTCCTTCCTTGTCCTGCGGTCCCGTCAGGCACACTGTCAGGCCTCTACCTCCCCTCATTCTCTACGAACTTGGTGGCAGGTAGTGCGCTCCAGGACGGGGGTGTTCACCAGTTCACCCCTGCTTACGAGCGCGTGACCCACTGCACGTGTGCTCGGACGGGCCGTCACCTGGCTACCTTCACTCGGCAGCCCGGGTCGGACCTGTACACACTGACCACTTAGTCCCCTCAGGTAGCTGCGTCCGCGTCTGCGTCTGCGTCAGGTCAGCTGTCCGCCCCCTGCTCGTGTCGCTCTCTGGCGCATGAGACTGTCCTCTGGCACCACCGCCTTGGTCACCCGTCTGTGCAGCGCCTTCGGGCCATGCACAAACGGGACCTTGTTGCTGGTCTTCCCAGGGTTCTCCCTCCCCTCCCACCCTCGCCTGCTCCTCCCTGTCTTCCCTGTGTCGAGGGGCGGCAGCGCGCCGCTCCTCACTCCTCCTCCTTTCCCCCGACGACTGCTCCTTTGCAGACGCTCCACATGGACGTGTGGGGCCCAGCCCGCGTCCGTGGTCAGGGTCAGGAGAGGTACTTCCTGATTGTTGTTGACGACTTCTCACGCTACACCACGGTCTTCCCCTTGCGCACCAAGGGTGACGTCCCTGATGTCTTGATCCCTTGGATCCGCAGATCTCGTCTCCAGCTCAGTGAGCGTTTCCACTCCGACTTCCCTGTCCTGCGTCTGCACTCTGACAGAGGTGGGGAGTTTTCCTCTGGCCTCTTGGAGGCCTTCTGTCAGCAGGAGGGCATTGAGCAGTCGTTCACGCTTCCGGCCTCTCCACAGCAGAATGGGGTTGCTGAGCGCCGCATTGGCTTGGTCATGGAGGTCGCTCGTACCTCCTTGGTTCATGCGGCTGCCCCCCACTTTCTGTGGCCGTTTGCAGTCCGATACGCTGCGCATCAGCTCAACCTCTGGCCCCGTGTCTCCTTACCGGAGACTTCTCCGACACTGCGTTGGACGGGAGAGGCTGGCGATGCGTCACGTTTTCGGGTCTGGGGATCTCGAGCTTTTGTTCGCGATACGTCCGCGGACAAGCTCTCCCGTCGCGCTGTCCCCTGTGTCTTCCTTGGCTTTGTCCCGGACGCGCCTGGTTGGCAGTTCTACCACGCCACCTCGCGTCGTGTCCTGGCCTCTCAGGACGTCACTTTTGACGAGTCCGTCCCCTACTACCGCCTCTTCCCCTACCGCACTGCTCCGCTCCCCCCCCGCCTCTCTTCCTCGCTCCAGGTGCTGAGGTACCAGACCCCCTCCCCCCTCAGGGTGCCGCTCCCTCAGGTGTGTCCCAGGTAGACCCGGGTGAGCCTGTCAAGGTAGCTGTCGACTCTCGTCCTACTGGGGGTGCTGAGCCTGGGGGTGCTGCGTCTGGGGGTGCTGAGCCTGGAGGTGCGGAGCCTGGGGGTGCTGAGCCTGGGGGTGCTGAGCCTGGAGGTGTGGAGCCTGGGGGTGCTGAGTCTGGGGGTGCTGAGTCTGGGGGTGCTGAGCCTGAGCGTGCTACACCTGGAGGAGCCCTCTCCTCCCGGCAGCTGCAGGAGAGGTACCTACAGTACTGCCGCCTCCGGAGAGGTGCTGCTGGAGCTCGTACCAGTACTTCCCCTCCTGCCCAGGAGCTCCCCCCCATTCAGCAGATCCGAGAGTGGTACACGCGGCGCTGCAGTCTTCGGAGTGGTGCTCCTGGTGCTGCGGACCCTGGGGGTGGCGCTGCTACTGGTGCTGAGGACCCGGGCGTTGGGGCTGCTGCTGGTGCTGAGGACCCGAGCGGTGGCGCTGCTGCTGGTGCTGAGGACCCGGGCATTGGAGCTGCTGCTGGTGCTGCGGACCCGAGTGGTGGCGCTGCTGCTGGTGCTGAGGACCCGGGCGTTGGAGCTACTGCTGGAGCTGAGGACCCGGACGGTGGAGCTGCTGCTGGTACTGAGGACCCGGGAGTTGGAGCTGCTGCTGGTGCTGAGGACCCTGCCGCTGGTGTCTCTGCTGGTTCTGGAGACGCTGCACGGCCGCGACCGTACTTCGTACCACTTCTTCAGCAGGTTCTTGGTCAGGCTCCTCCTCCTTGTCCTCCTCCTTCCGTAGAGTGTCCTCCGCCTGTCCCGCCGCAGTCACAGTTACCGCCTGCCTCGCCTCTCCCTGGTCCCTCTCCTTACACTGGTCCCACGGGAGGTCTTACAGAGCGTCGTGAGCCTGAGTCTCGTCCTGCGTTGCCTGTTCGTACTGCTCGCACTGGTCGTCGTGTCCCACGTGAGCGTCCTCCTCCTGTCCCTGGCACTCACTACATGACTCTGCGTCCCTCCACTGCTCCTCAGCGTGTCCCGCTGCCGTCTCCTCCCGCTTCCTCTCTTCCTACTCTTCCTGACCCGGAGTCTGACTCCCGTCGTGCTGCCAGTCCCACTGTCACGCGCCTCCTCGCTACTGTTGTCACAGACCCTACCTTTGAGTCCTCTGCTGCGTCTGCTCTGGTCGCTGAGCTGGTTGACTTTGCTGCCCGGTGTCGTCTAGACTACGCTGCTAGCCTTGTCGCTGAGTCTGAGTCTGAGTCTGTCTGTCCTCCGTCCGTCGGGGGTGAGTGTGCTCTTGGCACGGACGTCCTTGAGGACAGACAGGAGGAGTTCCAGTGCTTTGCTGCTGCTTTGCCCCATCTCGTGTCCATGCTAGTTGCCCCTGAGGGAGACCTGGATGCACCAGACATCCCGACCCCGCGCACTTACGCTGAGGCGATGGCGGGTCCCTACTCCTCTCAGTGGCAGACAGCCATGGACGCAGAGATGGCTTCCTGGAAGTCCACACGCACCTACGTCGACGAGGTTCCCCCACCTGGGGCGAACATCGTCAGTGGCATGTGGATTTTCAGGGTGAAGCGGCCACCGGGTTCTCCTCCGGTCTTCAAGGCGCGCTACGTGGCTCGAGGCTTCAGTCAGCGAGAGGGAGTTGACTTCTTCCAGACCTTCTCCCCCACCCCGAAGATGACCACTCTTCGGGTGCTGCTGCACATAGCCGCTCAGCGCGACTACGAGCTTCACTCACTTGACTTCAGCACTGCTTTCTTGCAGGGCAGCCTGCACGAGGAGATCTGGCTGCGCCGCCCTCCTGGCTTCACTGGGTCGGTTCCTCCTGGTACCCAGTGGAGGCTTCAGCGGCCGGTCTACGGTCTCCGCCAGGCACCACGTGAGTGGCACGACACACTGAGGACGACACTTGCGGCTCTTGGGTTCGCTCCCTCTACTGCTGACCCGTCACTGTTTCTACGCACAGACACCTCACTGCCGCCGTTCTACATCCTCGTGTACGTCGACGACTTGGTCTTTGCCACTGCTGACACAGCGGCACTCGCCCACGTGAAGTCGGAGCTGCAGAGGAGACACACGTGCACAGACCTGGGTGAACTGACAAGCTATCTTGGCTTGCGGATCACCCGGGACAGAGCACGGCGCACCATCACCTTGACTCAGTCACATATGGTGCAGCAGATCCTTCAGCGCTTCCGCTTCACGTACTCCTCGCCTCAGTCCACTCCTCTGCCTACCGGTCACTCGCTCTCAGCTCTGCCTTCGGATGAGTCCATAGAGCCGAGTGGCCCGTATCCAGAGCTTGTGGGCTGCCTCATGTACCTGATGTCCTGCACTCGACCTGACCTTGCATACCCTCTTAGCATCCTTGCACGCTATGTCACTCCTGGCCGTCACAGGAAGGAGCACATGGATGCCGCTAAGAGGGTGTTGCGCTACTTGTGCAGTACGTCGGGCATGGGGCTAGTGCTTGGAGGGCGAGACCGAGTTGTACTTACTGGACACTCAGACGCTTCTTGGGCGGACGACCAGGCTACTCAGCGGTCGTCTCAGGGTTACACCTTCAGCCTTGGCTCCGGCTCAGTTTCTTGGCGTTCTACACGCTCTTCTTCTGTTCTCAGCTCCAGTTGTGAGGCTGAGATCTACGCCACAGCCATGGCTGCCCAGGAGCTACGCTGGCTGACCTACCTGCTGACCGACTTGGGCGAGCGGCCTCGTTCTCCTCCAGTGCTGTACGTCGACAACCAGGCTGCCATTGCCTTGTGTGAGGAGCACAGACTGGAGCACAGAACGAAGCACATCGCCCTGCGGTACTTCCTTGCTCGAGAGCTGCAGCAGCGTGGTCAGCTTTGTCTGCGTTACGTGGCCACTGAGGCCAACCTTGCTGATGTGTTCACCAAGGCGCTTCCGCCTTGTGACCATCAGCGTTTCTGTACTCTTCTAGGCCTTGTGCCTGCTGGACCTCACTTGCTTACCTCTTGACTCTCCTTGTACTGTGATCTTTATATATATACCTGCATGTTTACACTTGCTAGGTTGCTATCACTGTATCTCTTGTTATATTATCAACCTGCATGTGAACTGGTCTTGTGACCACTTGCTTGTGCTCGGAATTTGTGTGGTATCCTTGAGATCCACCCTGAGCTTGTTTTGCTTTGCTTTGACTGGTCTTGTGACCCCTTGCTCTCCCCCACTTTGCCTATGGAGGTGTGTCAAACATTATACATGTTATATTTGTGTAGGCTATAGTGGGGTAGCCTATAGGGGGGTCACAATTCTAGGGTTTCATATTTGTACCAAACTCACTGCTAGTTCATTCATTCCTTGTTCAGTTATTCTGACACGATTCGACCCCAAATCACGTTCGTCCGGATTTAACCTTCTATAAAAGCAGAGGGGTGATGGATCCTCTCATCATCCACTCGAACTGGCTAGTGATAATCCTTACTGCTCTCTCTCAGTATCGTGCTTCGACGCTCTTGAATATACTCGACCTACATTTCGACTTTGGTTAGAATCAGCATCTGAGACGTCTACAATCCCTGCTTCGGCTCTCCGATCGGTTGCGCACTGCGCTCCGCTCTCACCTTCCAGCTTTCGCCTTTAGCGACTTCACGCCAGGCGGCATCATGGCTTCCACGCGGCGCTTCCTGCTTCTCGCGATGCTTGCGCTCGTCGCTACGGCCAGAGAGTCGCCACAGCTAATGAGTTCCACTCCATTCACTAGTGCATGTCGTCTCGTCACCACCTTTGTAAAATCGTTTACTTGGTTATTGAATTACGAGTACTACGACGATCATTTCAAAGTTTTGATTTGATTCCGACCTGGGCTCATGTCCGTCCTGTTCCGTCATCTTCCCTCGCCGCCTCCCTTTCCTTCAGTCCTCGCGGAAGCCGCCAGCAAGACGGACCGCTCGCAGGCGACGGCAGGCGAAGCGAAGGCGAAGGCTGCTGCCACCGATAAGCGCGCGGACCACTCGGGTGCGGCAGGATCGGCGCCTGGAAAGAAGCCCGTCCGCTCGCAGCCGAAGGCAGGCGGAGCGAAGGCCAAGGCTGCTAGTACCACCAATAAGCCGGCGAGCCACTCAGGTGCAGCCGGATCGGCGTCTGGAAAGAAAGCAGCCCGCCCCGAGTCGCAGCAGCCGGCAGTGCACACGGCTGGCGGCAAGCGGCAGGGGCAGCAGCAGGCGATGGGCGAGAAGCAGCGCAAGTCGTTTGATGGCCACGTGGCAGCCAACGGAACTCGCGTGAACGGCACTCGCAGGGCTGCCGTGAACGGCACTGACGCACGGGGCAGGCCGCAGCTGGAGGGAACTCGTGTGGCGGGAGGGAAGGGGCACGCCGTGAATGGCACGAGGCACGTGAATGGCACGAGGCCGCAGCGGGGTGGTGCTGCTGCTGGCGCTGGTGGGCTGCGCAAGGAGGACGGCGGTGCTGGTGGCAGGCGTGGTGGGCGAGGAGGCAGCGTGATTGGTGAGTGGGATTGCGTCATGGCATGACTGCTGCTGACGTCTTATTGGCTGCTTGTGGCTACCATTGTGTGTGCGATCTCAAAGTTTCTTGCTGCAGCCTGTGGCAAGCCAGTCGACTTGATGCCGTGCCTGCTTGTTTGCCCGTGGCAGGTGTGGTGGGTGCGCGGATGAGCGGCAAGCAGATGGTGGGGTCAGCAGGCATGGCCAATGCCACGGGCCGCCTGGAGCTCACTCTTGTCAAATGAGGCTTTTGCAGTGCCGCTCTGCCACCAGCTCTCCTTGCACGTGCCCCCTCCTTGCTCCTCTGCTGCTCACACTCATCTCACCCCTCCATCCTGGAGCTCACTCTTGTCAAGTCAGTGCCGCTCTGCCTCTTCTTTTACCCGCCGCTTTGCCTCCACCCCCCCTTGCACTTGAGCCCTCCTCTCCCTGCACGTGCAATGGAACTCGTTCCTCTGCCACTCACACTCCGTCTCACCCCTCCTGTGTTTGATCCTCCTGTGTTGACCCTCCTGTGTTTGATCCTCCTGTGTTGACCCTTCTGTCTTGACCGTCAGAAAGGGTGTTTGTGAGTGTGCATACGGCAAGCATGATCCAGGGGAGGCTCCACTCCACTAGGGGAAGCTCCACCAGGGGAGGCTCCATCAGGGAAGGCTCCACCAGGGGAGGCTCCACCAGAAAGACGGTAAACTCAATAGGGAGTAGACTAGGAGATCCTTAAGAAACATGCTTACCACTGCCTTTGATTTGCTAGGACACGTGTGTCTGAAGAGGTAGTGGAAGGGATGCTACGTCGAGAGGGAATGGAAGGGTGCTTTGGCCTTCCTCAGGTGATGTTTGGGGAGCTCATTGCAAGCTGCATGTCATTATCTTTCAAGTGAATCTCATCTCAGGGAATGGATGATGCTCTCTTTCTGTCTCTCTGCAGACTGAAATTCGGTACCACTTGTGAGCTTCTGTTACACGGGGTGCGGACTATGTCCGGGGTGATGTCTGTCCGGACTCGGAAGGTTCTGATCCAATCTGTAATGTTGAGAGTGGCAGTGTGTACTAGCGGAAATGTAATATTTCTTCCCACTTGGTGCAAGGGTGTGCAATATTGTAGTGACCACTGACCAGCTCCTGGACAAATAGCTCCCCAAGGTAAAAGCCCAGGGAGGGGTATTATCATATGAAAAAAAAAAGCCACACCTTCGTTGCCCCAACCGCCCATCCGTCTTCCTCCCAAACCAATCAGCTCCAGCACAGGCGGGTGGAAGCATCAGAGGCAGCAGTTGCAGCAGCATTAGCAGCAGCAGCAGTGGCAGCAGTGACAGCAACAGTGCGAGTTAGCCTTGGTGTGGACGGGTGGAGGCGGTTGGAGGAGAGGGATGCGTGGGAGAGAGAGGAGCTGAGTGGCGGGACAGGAAGAAGGGAGGGAGGAGGGGGGAAACTGGGGAGGGGTGGTGTGGTATTGGGAGGGAGGCAGAGCGGTTCTTTGGAGCTGGGGTTGGAGAGGAGTCGGGGTGATGGGGAAAGAGGGAGGGAAAGCGGGGAGTGAGGGGAGGTTGGAGAGGAGGATGGGCTCGTCATGAGCTTTGGTTCTTGACGACACCTTTCAGCTCCTTTCAACTTTAGCCCCAGCTCCAGTCGCCTCTTCTTCGACTCCTCAAGCTTCATGGTCATGCCCTTCAGAACCTCCTGATAAGCCTTCACTTTCACATTGTACTCCTGTAGCGTTCTCTCGACCTCATTGAATGCTGCCTCAAGCTTCTGCCGCGTCTCTTCTTCCTCCTTTGCCTTGACTTCTGCCATGCGTCTCAAACGTGCAGCCTCATGCATCTGCCACTCCACCACCTCCAGCCTTCCTTTTAGTACAACAGCTTCCTTCTCGGCAATAATACGGAGAGTCCTCTCATAATCAAGCTGATATCTCTTGTCCCAGCTGTTCCCCTATATTTTCTGTGTGCATAGCGCCAGCCAAGTGCTTTTCGAGAACCCTCTTCTGTGCATCTGCATCCTTCCGCTTCTTCTCCTCATCCAAGGCTCTGGCCACCCTCGGCTTCTTGGATTCAACGAACTTCGACTCAATTCAGCCCTCTTCTTTTCTTCAGCTACAGCCTTCTTTTGAACTTCTTGCAGAGATAAATTGAGTTTCCTAATCATGCCTGATGCTTCTCGAACAGCAAACTCGTCGTATGCTTTGCCAACAGAATATTCAGCTCGCTTCATTACCTCCACTTGGCTATTTGTTCCCTGTTTAGAAGCAGCATTTACCTCAATTGGCAGGTGATGGCATGAACGACAATGATCACAGGCAACAATGACTCAAAAACAGAACGGAAATGTACTGGACTCGAGTGCTTTGATCCGTAATAATGCAACAGTCGGATGACGTCATCATGCCTACTGGACTCGGCTATTTGCAATGGTGTCTTCCCATCCTGCATATCAAGAAATTTGGTTGGAGTCGGGTAGAATATTATGTGCTGGTTTTTGTTAGAATAATAGGCAGAACGAGGAGCCATAGCTAGGGTTTACCTAGCTAGGCAAGAGAGAAATGAGCAAAGGAGGGAATTCACTAGCAAGCAGGAGGATACATATAGGAAACCCTAAGGGGTTGTACTCACTACAGAGTACCCCACTGCAGGCTAGACAAACTACACATTCTGACACACCCCCATAGTCAAAGTGGGGTATAATCAGCAGAGCAAGCAGTCATAGAGCAGGTTCACAAGTGCAAGCAAAGCTAGAGGCATTCACAAAGGGCAAGTGAGGAGGAGGAGGCGAGACTGTAAGAGGAGAGGAGATAGGAGGCGACGGCTGAAGCTGCAGACACACGGGCAACAGGAGTCACACTGGCACAGTGGCTACCGGGTTGCGCCCCGGACTACTGGGGTAACTGGCTCCGCGGCTAAGACGAGCGGCAGGAGCAACGGACCCACGGGCGACTGGCGCAGCTGGCTACGACTGGGCTACCAGGACAGCGCCCCGGACTACAGGTGCTGCGGACGACAAGACGGCAGCCTCCGCTCAACCTCCCCCAACTGTCCCACCCCCCTTTTCACACACTCCATGCTGCACCCCTAGCTCCACTCCCACGTCACCCCCCTAGCACCACTCCCTAGGCTCCCACACACCCACCCCCCTCAGCGACAGCTGCAGCAGTGGGAGACGGAGGAGGAGGAGGAGCAGGGGACGGCGCACACACCCGGCACCCCCATACCCGCCACCCCCACACTCACCACCCCCAAACCCTAAAACGGGTGGCACGGGGCAGGAGCGCGGGGGACGGCGCGCGGCCCCCAGGGCGCCACCACGGGGCAGCGAGGGGCCGCGCGCGGCTCCCCAGGGCGCCGCGACGGGGCAGCGGGGGGCCGCGCGCGGCTCCCCAGGGCGCCGCGACGGGGCAGCGGAAGCCGCGCGCGGCTCCCCAGGGCGCCGTGACGGGATTGCGGGGGGCCGCGCGCGGGTTTTCGGGGCGACGCGACCGTCGACGGGGGGGGGGACGACGCGACCGTCGACGGGGGGGGACGCGCGGGTCCCAGGGGTGACGCGTGAAGAATGAAGCCGCCACACGCCTCGAGGCGCACAGCGGGCAGAAAACCGCCATGCGCCCCGAGCGCGTGGCGGGAAGAAAAAAGAATCGCGCGCCACGGGGCGCGCGACAGACAGGAAAGCAGCGGAAGCACGTGGGGCCCACAGGCCAAGAGCGTAACAGCTCTGATTCCATGTTAGAATAATAGGCAGAACGAGGAGCCATAGCTAGGGTTTACCTAGCTAGGCAAGAGAGAAATGAGCAAAGGAGGGAATTCACTAGCAAGCAGGAGGATACATATAGGAAACCCTAAGGGGTTGTACTCACTACAGAGTACCCCACTGCAGGCTAGACAAACTACACATTCTGACAGTTTTGGGATCCTACCTTGGTCTTGGCAGTTTTATCAGCTCCACTTTGCAGCAAAACTTGTGCAAGCTCAACCGAGCCAAACGCTGCTGCGCAATGCAGGGGAGTAAAGAGTTTTTGCACAGCACTTTGTCGCGTCAGTAAATATCGTGAAGAGGTATCTCATGACTGTCAAGATCTACCTGATCCTTCTTAGAACTTAGGCAAGAATGATGGGATTAGGTCAAGGAGGGGTACAAGAAGAATGTCGAGAGAAATTCTGTACCCCCTAGTGCTACCCCACTACAGCCTAGACAAAGTCAATGTCAGATATATATGACTTAGTCTTTGTAGGCTCTAGTGGGGTAGACACTAAGGGGTACAGGTTTCTAGGGTTTCATATTTGTATCCAAACATTTTCCTAGTTCAAGCATTCCTCATTCTTCACATGGTATAGAGCGGGTTCCCTAGTGGGACCGTTCCTTCCCAGGACCCACCTTTGGAAAACATTTTTTAGCCTGCCCGAAGCGCGCTTTGCGCCCTGCCCAAAACTTTTGCAGCCCCTCAGTGGTCTGCCCCTTAACGGCCCCTTCGCGGCCCTTTCGCGACCCCTTCGCGGCCCCTCGCGGCCCCTCTTAAGGCCCTTCGCGGCCCCCTTCACGGCCCTTCGCGGCCCCTTCACGGCCCTTCGCGGCCCCTTTGCGGCCCTTCGCGGCCCCTCTCGGCCCTTCGCGGCCCCCTCTCGGCCCTTCGCGGCCCCTTCGTGGCCCCTCGCGGCTCTCCGCGGCCCCCTCGCGGCTCTTCGCGGACCGCCGTAGCCGCCCTGCCGCCCCGTCGTCGCCGCCCCAGCAGCAGCTGCCGTCGCTTCCGCTGCCGCCGCTGCTGTTCGCCGCCGCCGCTGCCGTGACAGCCGCCGCCGTCGCTGCCGTCACAGCCACCGTTCTCCGCAGCTGCCGCCGCCGTCCCGGCCCTGCCCTGCAGCCGAGCCGCGGCCCTGCCCTGCCGCCCTGTCGCGGCCCTGATCCTGCCGGCGCACCTCGGTCCTGCCCCACCACTTGCGGCCTTCTACCCACCCGCTCCTGGTAAGCGCACAACCGAGCCGCGCTCCTACTGCTGCTGCTACTGCTAGCCTGCTGCTGCTGCTGTCATGGCTAGTCCCAATGTTCTTACCTTCGATGCTGAGGGTCGTGCGATAGACTTTGAAGTCTAGATCGATGATCTGCAGATTTTCCTGTAGTGCGATAGCAAAGACGGTCTCTCACTGTTCGATCTCACATCTGGCGCCTCTCCTGCCCCTGCTGCTGATGCTGACAGTACTGTTCGCTCACAGTGGACCACACGCGATGCTGCTGCCCGTCTTGCTGTGCGTAGTCACCTGCCGTCCACTGAGCGCGCGCACTTTAGTCAGTACAAGAGTGCTAAGACCCTGTACGACGCTGTAGTTGCGCGCTACTCCTCCCCGGCCACTGCTGCCCTTAGTTGCCTCATGCTGCCGTACCTTTTCCCTGACCTCGCCGCCTTTGCTACAGTCGCTGACCTCATTACACACCTCCGCACTAGTGACACCCGCTACCGCGCTGCGCTTCCTGCTGAGTTCTGCGCCAAGAACCCCCCCCCCATGTACATCACCCTCTACTACCTAGTCACCCGGCTCCCTGACTCCCTTCGCTCGGTCAGGGATCACTTCCTCTCTCTCTGCCCCACCACACTCACCGTTGACCTCCTCGAGGAGCGCCTCCTTGCAGCTGAGAAGAGCATAGTCGCTGTAGGAGCCTCTCGTGGTGACCCTCGTGCCCCTGTCTTTGAGGGGTGCTCCCCCATTCCCCTTTTGCCCTCTGTTGCCTCTGCTGCTGCTGTCGACCTCGTTGGCACCGAGTCGGTCGGCGCTGCATCTGCCCCTAGCGGGAGGCACCGCAACTGCAAGGGCAAGGGGGGCAAGGGTGCTGGAGGAGCTGGCGGGGGTGGTGGTGGTGGCGGTGGAGGCGGTGGAGGCGGCGGAGGTGGAGGTGGGAGTGGTGGCGGAGGTGGGGGCTCTGGTGGCAGCGGTGGAGGCGGAGGCAGCGGCAGCGGCGGCGGTGGGAGTGGAGGAGGTGGCGGTGGCGGCGGTGGCGGTGGCGCTGGTCGGGGTGGCTCTGTGCAGCGGGGAGGCTTCGATGGTGGCCAGCATCAGCAGCAGCAGCGCTCTCGTGAGACTCCACCACCCCAGCAGCTACGTGAGTGGTACACTGCGCGTCAGCGGTCTGAGGGTGCTGGTCCCTGTGCCTACGTCCTGCGTACTGGTGACCGCACTGGGGAGCCGTGCGGCGGGCCGCACACCACCCAGCGCTGCTTCGGCCGCCTGACAGACGCCTGGCGTCTCCGGTTCCCTGACGCCACTGAGCTCCCTCGCTGGGGTGATCTGCTTAGGTCGGGGGTTGCTATCTTTGATCTTGACTATGATGCTATTCTTGCTGCCATGTATGTTGTGTCTACTAGAGATGAGGGTGACTGGTACCTGTGTGTTTCGCCTGACCCGGGCATTGCGGCTGCTGCTCTAGGTGCTACTGAGTCTGCTGCTCCAGGTGCTAGTGAGTCTGCTGCTCCAGGTGCTGGTGAGTCTGCTCTCTCAGGTACCACGTCTGCTCAGGCGTTGCACACTTTCACCCTTGACTCGGGTGCTTCCCGCTCCTTCTTTCGAGACCGCACCACCCTCACGCCGCTCAGTCGGCCGGTTGCGGTCTCCCTGGCAGACCCCTTTGGGGGTCCTGTCCTTGCCCACTACTCCACTGTGCTACCGTGTCCAGCGGCCCCGTCTGGCTCCCTGTCAGGTCTTTACCTCCCCTTGTTCTCTACGAACTTGGTGAGTGGTGCTGACCTACAGGATGGGGGGGTTGACCAGTTCACTCCTGCGAGTCAGCGGGTGACCCACTGCACGTGTGCTCGGACGGGCCGACACTTGGCCACGTTTACCCGTCAGCCGGGGTCGAGCCTGTACACACTGACTACCGAGTCTCCTCCGGTTGCTGTGCCTGGTCAGGTAGCTGCGTCGGGTCAGGTGTTTGCTGCAGCGTCTCGGTCTGGTCCTGAGTCTGCCCCCTGCTCGTGTCGCCTCCTGTCCCACGAGACTCTTCTCTGGCACCACCGCCTTGGTCACCCCTCCTTGCCTCGTCTCCGAGGCATGGCCTCCCGTGTCCTTGTCTCTGGTCTCCCCCGGTCTCTCCCTCCCCTTCCTCCGGGGCCTGCCCCTACCTGCGTTCCCTGCGTCGAGGGGCGGCAGCGCGCCGCTCCTCACTCCTCCGAGTTTCCGCCGACAGAGGCTCCGCTGCAGACTCTTCACATGGACGTGTGGGGCCCAGCCCGCGTCCGTGGACAGGGTCACGAGCGTTACTTCCTGCTGGTGGTTGACGACTACTCGCGTTACACCACAGTCTTCCCCTTGCGCCGCAAGGGTGATGTCGCTGAGGTGTTGATCGACTGGATCCGCGCGGCTCGTCTCCAGCTTCGAGAGAGTTTCAGCTCGGACTTTCGTGTCCTGCGCCTGCACTCCGACAGAGGTGGAGAGTTTTCCTCCGACCTTCTGCGAGCCTTCTGTCGTGCGAGGGGCATCCGCCAGACGTTCACGCTTCCGGCCTCTCCACAGCAAAATGGGATTGCTGAGCGCCGCATTGGCATGGTCATGGACGTCGCTCGTACGTCCATGATCCATGCGGCTGCTCCCCATTTTCTGTGGCCGTTTGCGGTTCAGTACGCGGCGCATCAGATCAACCTTCAGCCCCGGGTCTCCATGCCGGAGACCTCCCCCACTCTGCGGTGGACGGGGAAGGTTGGCGATGCGTCTGCGTTCCGTGTCTGGGGATCTCGAGCTTTTGTCCGCGACTTGTCTGCGGACAAGCTGTCCTCCCGTGCTGTTCCCTGCGTCTTCCTTGGCTTCCCCCCTGACGCGCCTGGTTGGCAGTTTTACCACCCCACCTCGCGCCGTGTTCTGTCCTCCCAGGACGTCACGTTTGACGAGTCGGTTCCGTACTACCGTCTCTTCCCCTACCGCGCTGCCCCCCTTCCCCCCCCCCACAGCTCTTCCTTACGCCAGGTCCCCCCCCGGTAGACCCCCTCTCCCCTTAGGGTCCTGCCCCCTCAGGTGTGTCCCAGGTAGACGCAGTCGAGCCTGTCGAGGTAGATGTCGACTATGGTGCTACTAGGAGTGCTGAGCCTGCGGGTGTCGGGTCTGGGGGTGCGGAGCCTGAGCGTGAGGAGCCTGGAGGTACTGCGCCTGGGGGTGCTGTGTCTGGGGGTGCTGAGCCTGTGTGTGCGGAGTCTGGGGGTGCTGAGTCTGGAGGTGAGACGCCTGAGGGTACTGGGACTGCTGGTGCGCGGTCTCCTTGGAGTAGCCGCCTTCGTCCGCGTGTGCCTCTCACCTCACAGCAGCTGCACGACTGGTACGGTCGCCGTCAGGGTCGCGCTGCTGGAGCCCGGGGCTCTGCTGCTGGAGGTACTTCTGCTGACGTCCCTGGAGCTAGGAGTGGTGCTGGTACTTTGTCTACTGGAGGTGCTGGAGTCGCTGGTCCCGGAGGTGCTCGTCCTGGAGGTACTAGAGCTGCTGGGGCTGGGGGTGCTGCGTCTGGGGGTGCCGCTCTTGGAGACACTGAGGCTGGAGACCCTGGGACTGGAGGTGCTGGGTCTGGGGGTGCCGCTGCTGGAGACACTGAGGCTGGAGACAATGGGACTGGAGGTGCTGGTTCTGGGGGTGCTGCTACTGGAGACACTGAGGTTGGAGACCCTGGGACTGGAGGTGCCGGTTCTGGGGCTAGAGCTTCAGGAGCTGCTGGAGGTGCTGGAGCTGCTGGAGGTACTGGAGCTGCTGGGGCTGGTATAGCTGCACCGACACGACTGTTCTTCGCTCCGCCGTCTCCGTCGTCTCTACCGCCGCCTGACTCTGTTCTTCATCAGGTTCTTACTCTCCCGTCGTCTACTGGTCTTCCGTTACAGCCTGGCTCACCGCTGCCTGCTCCTTCTCCTTACACCGAGCAGACATGTAGTTTTGCTGAGCGTCGTGAGCCTGTGTCGCGTCCTGTCTCGCCTGTTTGTTCTGGTCGTACCGGTCGTCGTGTTCCTCGTTCGCGTCAGCCGGCTGTCCCCAGCGCACACCTCGTAGTCCGTCGTCCTTCCTCTGCTCCGCAGCCTGTTCCTCTGCCGTCTCCCCCTGCGTCCTCTCTGCCTGCCGTTCCGGACCCTGAGTCTGACAGGTTTCGTGCTGAGCACCCTACTGTCACGCGTCTGTTAGCCACTGTTGTCACTGACCCGTCGTTTGAGTCTACTGCTGCGTCTGCCTTGGTTGCTGAGCTTGTTGACTTTGCTGCTGCCTTTCGTCTAGACTACGCTGCTAGCCTTGTTGCTGAGTCTGAGTCAGTCTGTCCTCCGTCCGTCGGGGGTGAGTGTGCTCTTAGCACGGACTTTCCTGAGGACAGGCAGGGGGAGTTCCAGTGTTTTGCTGCTGCTTTACCTCATCTCGTGTCCATGCTGGTTGCCCCTGAGGGAGACCCGGATGCACCAGACATCCCGACTCCGCGCTCTTACGCAGAGGCGATAGAGGGTCCCTACTCCTCTTAGTGGCAGGCAGCCATGGACGCAGAGATGGCTTCCTGGAAGTCCACAGGCACCTACGTCGACGAGGTTCCCCCACCTGGGGCGAACATCGTCAGTGGCATGTGGATTTTCAGGGTGAAGCGGCTGCCGGGTTCTCCGCCTGTCTTCAAGGCGCGTTACGTGGCTCGAGGCTTCAGTCAGCGGCAGGGAGTTGACTACTTTCAGACCTTCTCTCCCACCCCGAAGATGACCACTCTTCGGGTGCTGCTGCACATAGCCGCTCAGCGCGACTACGAGCTTCACTCTCTTGACTTCAGCACAGCTTTCCTACAGGGCAGCCTGCACGAGGAGATCTGGCTGCGCCGCCCACCTGGCTTATCTGGGTCGTTTCCTCCTGGTACCCAGTGGAGCCTCCGACGGCCAGTCTACGGTCTCCGCCAGGCGCCCCGTGAGTGGCACGACACACTGAGGACTACACTTGCGGCTCTTGGGTTTGCTCCTTCTACTACCGATCCGTCGCTGTTTCTACGCACCGACACCTCTTTGCCGCCGTTCTACATCCTCATGTACGTCGACGACTTGGTCTTTGCCACAGCTGACACTGCTGGACTCGCCCACGTGAAGTCCGAGCTGCAGAAGAGACACACGTGCACATACCTGGGTGAATTGCGCAGCTACTTCGGCTTGCAGATCACCCGAGACAGAGCACGGCGCACCATTACCCTGACTCGGTCACACATGGTGCAGCAGGTCCTTCATCGCTTCGGCTTCACGTACTCCTCGCCTCAGGCCACTCCTATGTCTTCTCGCCACTCGCTCTCAGCTCTGCCTTCGGATGAGTCCGTAGAGCCGAGTGGCCCGTACCTAGAGCTTGTTGGCTGCCTCATGTACCTGATGACCTGCACTCGACCTGACCTTGCATACCCTCTTGGCATCTTGGCACGCTATGTTGCTCCTGGGAGACACCGACCAGAGCACATGGCTGCAGCGAAGAGGGTGTTGCGCTACTTGTGCAGTGCGTCGGGCATGGGGCTTGTGCTTGGAGGGCGGAGTTTAGTGGTCCTCACTGGTCACGCAGACGCGTCTTGGGTCGACGACCTGGCTACACAGCGGTCGTCACAGGGTTACACCTTCAGCCTTGGTTCCGGCTCTGTTTCGTGGCGGTCTACCCGCTCGTCGTCTGTTCTCAGCTCCAGCTGTGAGGCTGAGATCTACGCAGGGGCCATGGCTGCACAGGAGTTACGCTGGCTCACCTACTTGCTGACTGACCTGGGAGAGCCGCCTCGTTCTCCTCCAGTTCTGTACGTAGACAACAAGGCCATGCTGGCCTTGTGTCGGGAGCACAGACTGGAGCACAGAACGAAGCACATTGCTCTTCGCTACTTCCTTGCTCGTGAGCTGCAGCAGCGTGGTCAGCTGCGCCTTGCTTACGTGGCCTCTCGGGCCAACACTGCTGATATCTTTACCAAGGCACTTCAGCCTTGTGATCATCAGCGCTTCTGTACGATGCTAGGTCTTGTGCCCACTTGGCCTCACTTGCTCACTTCTTGACCTTGCTTGTACTGTGATTTATATATACCTGCTCTTGCTTGTTTACCTTTATATATAATCCTGCATGTGAACTGGCCTTGTGGCCTTGAATCGGTGCTCGGAATGTGTGGTGACGTTGTGATCCACCGTGAGCTTGCTTTGCTTTGACTGGTCTTGTGACCCCTAGTTCTCCCCCACTTTGCCTATGGGGATGTGTTGGATATATATGACTTAGTCTTTGCAGGCTCTAGTGGGGTAGACACTAAGGGGTACAACATTTTCATATTTGTATCCAACATTTTCCTAGTTCAAGCATTCCTCATTCTTCACGGTCAACACACAAATATAGTTTGACACACCCCCATAGGCAAAGTGGGGGAGAACAAGGGGTCACAAGACCAGTCAAGAGAAGCAAAGCAAGCTCAGGGTGGATCACAACGTCACCACACACTCTGAGCACAAGTAAAGGGCCACAAGGCCAGTTCGCATGCAGAGATATATATGCGACAAGAACAGTACAGTGATCACTACCTAGCAAGAGCAAGCAAGCAGGTATATATATAGATCACAGTACAAATGAAGTCAACAATAAGTGTGGAAACGTAGGCACAAGGCCTAACAAGGTACAAAAACGCTGATGATCACCAGACGGAAGCGCCTTGGTGAATATATCAGCAGTGTTGGCCCGAGTGGCCACGTGAGCAAGACGAAGCTGACCACGCTGCTGCAACTCTCGAGCAAGGAAGTAACGCAGAGCGATGTGCTTCGTTCTGTGCTCCAGTCTGTGCTCCTCACACAAGGCAATGGCGGCCTTGTTGTCGATGTACAAAACTGGAGGAGAACGAGGCCTCTCTCCCAAGTCAGTCAGCAGGTAGGTGAGCCAGCGTAACTCCTGTGCAGCCATGGCAGTGGCGTAGATCTCAGCCTCACAACTGGAGCCGAGAACAGAAGAAGAGCGTGTAGAGCGCCAAGAAACAGAGCCAGAGCCAAGGCTGAACGTGTAACCCTGTGACGACCGCTGCGTAGCTAGGTCGTCAACCTAAGAAGCGCCTGAGTGCCCAGTAAGGACCACGTCTCTCCGCCCTCCAAGCACGAGCCCCATGCCCGATGTACTGCACAAGTAGCGCAGTACCCTTTTTGCAGCATCCTAGTGCACCTTTCGGTGCCTACCAGGAGCCACGTAGCGGGCCAGAAGGCCAAGAGGGTACGCAAGGTCAGGACGAGTGCAGGTCATCAGGTACATGAGGCAGCCCACTAGCTCTGGATAAGGACCACTTGGCTCTACGGACTCGTCCAAAGGTGGAGCTGAGAGCGAGTGACCTGTAGCCAGAGGAGTGGACTGTGGCGAGGACCAGGTGAAGCCGAAGCGCTGAAGGACCTGCTGCACCATGTGTGACTGAGTCAGAGTGATGGTGCGGCGTGCTCTGTCTCGGGTGATCTGCAAGCCAAGGTAGCTACGCAGCTCACCCAGGTCTGTGCACGTGTATCTCTTCTGCAGCTCCGACTTCACCAGGGCGAGAGCCTCAGTGTCAGCAGTGGCGAAGACCAAGTCTTCGACGTACACGAGGATGTAGAACGGCGGCAGCGAAGAGTCGTGCGCAGAAACAGCGACGGGTCTGCAGTCGAAGGAGCAAACCCAAGAGCCGCAAGTGTAGTCCTCAGTGTGTCGTACCACTCACGAGGTGCCTGGCGGAGACCGTAGACTGGCCGTCGGAGGCTCCACTGGGTACCAGGTGGGAACGACCCAGTGAAGCCAGGTGGGCGGCGCAGCCAGATCTCCTCGTGCAGGCTGCCCTGTAAGAAGGCTGTGCTGAAGTCCAGCGAGTGAAGCTCGTAGTCACGCTGAGTGGCAATGTGCATCAGCACCCGAAGAGTGGTCATCTTCGGGGTGGGGGAGAAGGTCTGGAAGAAGTCGACTCCCTCTCGCTGACTGAAGCCTTGAGCAACGTAACGAGCCTTGAAGACAGGCGGAGAACCCGGTGGCCGCTTCACCCTGAAAATCCACATGCCATCGACGATGTTCGCCCCGGGAGGGGGAACCTCATCGACGTAAGTGCCTGTGGACTTCCAGGATGCCATCTCTGCGTCCATGGCTGCCTGCCACTGAGAGGAGTAGGGGCCCGCGATCGCCTCAGCGTAAGAGCGCGGGGTCGGGATGTGTGTAGCATCCGGGTCTCCCTCAGGGGCAAGCAGCATGGCCACGAGATGAGGCGCAGCGGCTGCAAGACACTCAAGATCCTCCTGTCTGTCCTCAAGGACGTCCGTGCCAAGAGCACACTCACCCCCGACGGACGGAGGACAGACAGACTCAGGCTCAGCAACTAGACTGGCAGTGTAGACTAGACGACAGGCAGCAGCAAAGTCGACAAGCTCAGCGACCAAGGCAGACGCAGCAGCAGACTCAAACGACGGGTCAGTGACAACAGTGGCTAACAGACGCGTGACTGTAGGGTGCTCAGCACGAAACCGGTCAGACTCAGGGTCCGCAACGTCAGGCAGAGAGGACGTAGGAGGAGACGGCAGAGGAACAGACTGCAGAGTAGAGGCAGGACGACGGACGACGACGCGCGCGCTGGGGACAGCCGGCGAACGCGGACGAGGAACACGACGACTGGTACGACCAGAACGAACAGGCGAGACAGGACGCGACGCAGGCTCACGACGCACAGTAAGACCTCCTGCCTGCTCTGTGTAAGGGGAAGGAGTAGGCAGCGGTGAGCCAGGCTGTAACGAAAGACCAGTAGAAGACAGGTTGCTGAGAACCTGACGAAGTACAGTGTCAGGCGGTGGCTGAGACGACGGAGACGGCGGAGCGAAGAACAGTCGCGTCGGTGCAGTGCCACCAGCACCAGCAGCTCCAGTACCTCCAGCAGCTCCAGTACCTCCAGTACGAAAGTCCAGAACTCCCAGCGCCAGCTCCTCC